ATGGTGCCGGCGGGCGTGCAGACCTCGGCGGCGGCGGCCGTGTCGACCTGGATGTGGTCCTTGCAGTCCTCGAGCAGCTTCTCCATGCTGCCCTCGGCGCCCTGGGCCCAGTCGGCGAGCTCCGTCATGTACTCCATGAGGTCCTCCGACAGCGACGAGTGCACGGTCCAGAGGCACGACTCGGTCTGCGACACGACGGCGTCCTCGACGTCCGGGGCGGGCGTGGGTGCCGAGCCGAGGATGGAGCTGGCCGACGTGTAGCACTCGCCCGCGTCCTGGCGCGCTACGATGACGTTGCTCGCGGCTAGGCTTTGGAGCTTGATGTTCTCGATGATGCGCACGGCCTGGACGACCTCGACCTCGGCCGTGGCGGAGGCGGCGGCGAAAGCCAGAAGCAGAACGGCCTGGTTGAGCATTGTGTGTTTTGTTGATGTTGGGGTGCTGGGACTGAGGATGCGTGTGTGGTAGTTGGTTGCTCTGTTGGGTAGATGAAGATGCTGGCGATGGAAACGTTGGGTTGATAGATAGATTGCTGCGTGATACAGAGGATCGAGTGACACTTGCGCCTCTGGACTTATATACCTGAAGTCCTTGCCTGCTGTGCCGCACATCTCAGGTCGCTTTGGCCTCACGCGCTCGTTGGCCTCCATCTCTAAACTGCTAGCGCGACGGAGTCTGCAAGGGGTCGATCAAGCTCGTTCCACCAGGAGACACCTAAGTCAGCCCAGTCAGGCTGTTCGCGAGCGGCGCAGCGAGACCACCCAGAGACAGCGGCCTGTGAGTCAATCAGTGTGGCAGCGGAAACTTGGTCATGGTCCCTTGCCCAAGATCGAGTTGGACCTCACTGTCTGACTGCGGCGAAGCAACTGGTTGCCATGCATGGGCCGATCACTGGGCCTGCCAAGGCACCTTCGCCACGACCAGAATGGATATGAAGGATCACGGGGCCGCGTTTCCCGGCAGCACTGCAAACTCATGCTCCACTACAACCGTTTTCTTATTTTTAGCCGAAATAATCAACTGTCCATATTGGGTGACCGGCAAGTGTTTGCTGTCTGGCGGGTCGCAAACGCCAATGGACTGCACAGCAATCAACTTTTCTTGCCCGCCTTGCCCGCCTATGTCGTAGGTAGGGAAGAAATGACTCTTTTCGCCGTCATGTTGCGCTTCAATCTGCGCGTCCAGACCGTTGAGGGAGGGGATGCCGTATTTGCCCATCACCAAGAGTAGAGGACGAGACGGGAGCAAGCCTGTACTGAATGCTTGGAGGAATACCATATCGCCAAGTCACCCTTGATGCAATCCACAAGATGGATGTTGATGGCGGTCACACACCCCTGGTTCCCAAGACTGCTCGGGCCCGAACGTGGCTGAGGGACAATTCAAGACCCCAAACGAGCTCCATTACAGGCGATCCACCCTCGATTCTGTCTTCTGCCGACGCGGGAGAAAGGTGCAGGGTCATCTCGTAGGTTCAAATTTGCCCATCCCAGGCACGTTGTGTAGGTCTGACACATCAGCATAGGGGGCTGCGCGCTCTCTGTTCGCAGCCTCCCAATGTGCCTTGTCGCATCGGGTGGCACGCGAAGGATCAGACTAGCGCTCGTTCGCGGTCCGCCACCCACGAAAGCCAAGCCTTTCCCATGGCGCGCCGTTGAATAGGGCTGACCGCCTAACCGCGAACACGAACAAGCGATAGGCATTGACGAGCAGTCGGCCCATCTCCAGCAGACGAGACGGACTAGAACCAAAGTGGGTGCAATCTTCGAGCTGGAGCAAGGGGTGAGATCCGACGACCACATGAGGAAGAAGATTCATGCAGCGCTGGACCAGAGAGTATGCTATGCAGTCTGTTTCTATGCGGTATGCCGTCTTCCTGGGCTGCTTCGTCATGTTCGTTCAACCGGAAATACATGTCGTCGTGGCGCTGCGCTGCCCTTGCCGGAGGATTGATGACCCTGCGATTCCCCAGAGGCGCATTGCCATGTCCCAGACTCGTGGTTCTCTGACGCAATGCCCAGCGAGGCCCCCATCTGCGGCTTCTGCAAGGTGACACCCGAAGGAACAATCTGCAAGGTGGAATCCGGGGTTGTCTGGGCGCAGTCGTGCGACCTTGGCACGATACGAGTGCGTCTTACGGCGGCTTAAGGAGGGATGATGGGGGGTGCCATTACGTTGTCGCGCGATTGGTGAGCTTTATGGCTAATGCCCGACCCAAGAGCTACAGGTTTTGTGAACTAGGTAACGTGCATGATAAGCAAGTGGGCCAAACAAGCAAGTGGGCCACCTGACGACGAAAACGCGACCTTCTTACGTTAACCATTAATTCTTCCACCAACAACGATGTCTCCGCCCTCACAAGAACGTCAATTACAGCTTGCTCTTCAGGCTATTCAAAATGACCCAGATCTCAGTATACGCGCTGCGACAAATATCTTTGGTGTTCCCCGAATGACCTTGACGCGTCGACTACGCGGTATTACTTCGCAACGCGACAGGATCCCCCTCAATCGAAATTTGACGGAGCTCGAGGAGTTAACGATTGTTCAATACATACTTGAGCTAAATTCCCGAGCATTTCCTCCCCGGCTTTGTGAGGTTGAAGATATGGCTAATCGACTGCTAGCCGACCGCGACGCGCCGAGTGTCGGGAAGCGCTGGGCCTCAAACTTCGTCAGGCGACAACCAGAGCTTAAGACGCGTTTCTTTCGCAGATATGACTATCAGAGAGCCCAATGCGAAGATCCCGAGGCAATTCGCGATTGGTTCGCGCTCGTAAAGAACACAATCGCCAAATACGGTATCGCGGAGCCTGATATCTATAACTTCGATGAGACTGGGTTTATGATGGGCGTTATCGGGTCCGGAATGGTCGTTACGAACGCCGAAAGACGTTCTAATACGAAAATGGTCCAACCAGGAGGTCGGGAATGGGTGACAGTGATCCAAGGCGTTGGCGCAGACGGGTGGTGTGTCCCGCCGTTCATCATTATGGCGGGCAAAAATCACCTCTCAAGCTGGTACGAAGACAGCCCTCTACCTCACGACTGGGTAATCGCTACGACAGACAAAGGCTGGACAACAAATGAGAAAGGTCTAGAATGGATTCAGCATTTTGACAAGCATACCAAGCCCCGTCGGTCGGCCGGATATCGCCTCCTTATCCTAGATGGGCACCAAAGTCACCATTCCGTTGAGTTCGAGCTCTACTGCAAGGAAAACAACATCATTACGCTATGCATGCCTCCCCATTCATCTCACCTACTTCAACCTCTTGATGTTGGCTGTTTTGGCCCGCTAAAGCAGGCCTACGGTCGGCAAATTGAGAAGAAGATGAGGGCAGGTACAAGCCACATCACGAAGGAGGACTTCTTTCCCGCGTTTTTCGCAGCTTTCAAAGAAGCTATGACGGAAAGGAATATCAAGGGGGGGTTCAGAGGTGCTGGGCTTGTCCCAATGAGCCCCGAAATTGTGGTTTCAAAGCTGGATGTGAAGCTACGGACACCGACGCCCGTCGAGGGGGTCCCCGATACATCAGAACCTTGGGTCTCCCAAACGCCTCACAACCCGATTGAAGCTAGCTGTCAGTCAGAGTTTATTAAAGGTCGAATCGCCCGACACCAAGGAAGCTCTCCGACGTCGATTCTTAACGCTATAGACCACTTTACCAAGGGGACGCGTGGAATCATGCATCAACTCGCCCTATTGAAGTCGGAGAACCAGATCCTTCGAGACGAGAACGCGACACTCAGCAAGCGTCGGAGAGCTAAGAAAACACGTCTCAGGCAAGGAGGGAGTCTAACTCTAGGTGAGGGACAGGAGATACAAACCAATATCGAGGTTCAGGTCCAGATAAATGAGGAAACGCGTCAGAGAAGCAGTCGCCAACCAAGGGACGGGACGAAGAAACGGCGCTGCGGTGTCTGCGGCGAGCCTGGACATAATGCGCGGACTTGTCAGCTGGAGACGAGGGCTTCTGAAGAAGAGGATTTCAAGTAGTTTCAATTGATTTAAGGCGTTAGGGTTCACCGGGATGCTGCTGTCGTCGCATGGTCGTGGTCAGGTGGCCCACTTGCTTGTTTGGCCCACTTGCTTATCATGCACGTTACCTGTGAATGGATAGATTTCATTTCCACTTCTCCGAGACCGTTTGCAAACCTCGCTTCGAACGAAGCCACAACCCCATGAGATTCGAACCATTGACGAGCAAAATAAAACATACAACACCAGGGATTCGCCGGTGGTCACCCACCCGACTACTGGTCTGGCCCTCACTGGTTTATCGATGGGAGAGCGGACGGGATCCCGAGCTTTCCAGTAGGTATGGTCGTATGTGCTGAGAAGACGGTTGTCTGGAGTTCATGTTGACTACGATGCTGGTGGTGGTGTTGGGGTGCAGGTCGAAGGGTTGCGGCAAAAGCTGACCACAGCTGACGTGATGCGCTGACTGGTAAAGACCCATCCCGCACCGAACATTATCAGATCACGCTGCGTCCCGGTTATGGGCCAATCGCAATTCAATTGATTTCGACACTTGTCTAGTGACGTCGATGGCAAGGTTGGAACTTGATTTTAAAAGCATTGGACGTTGGTACATCGATTGGGGGCTGTGACTGTGCTTACTGTGCTCACTGGGGGCTTGGGCGCCAATAATCGCCCCCAATGGTTCGTCCGCCTCATCGCCCGATTCGAGCGCGGCATGGTAACGTTACGCAGTCGCTTTCGGAGAGCCGGCGCGCTTTGAACGTGTCCATGATTTCGAGGGGCTGGAAATCAAAGTCATGTTGGAGAAAAGCGAACAATGCCCGCGCAGGGGTGGCATTTCACGGAGATGGGCATAGGGTGATTCATGCTGCAGCTTGATACTGTTGTATATTGGCCGCGTCGCCTCCCATGCGGATGCTTTTGCTTTTGCTTGACTACGCCTTTGCGAAGCAGCAGCGTCCAGGCTGGGACGCCACGCAACCTGTTTGATACGATTCCTCATGCTACCAACCCATCTAGAGCTTCCACACCTGGAGGTTCCTGTAGCGGGCCACCAACGGCGACATCTGGCGGAAGCCAATGCGGCCGTCACGAACGACGGGCCCGGTCGACTTGTCGTCGCGGAAGGAGAAGAGGGGCAGGTCGTTGACGAGGAACTGCACATCGCGCTTGTCCTTGATGACGGTGACGCGGTAAAAGGCGCCGGCGGCGTCGACGACGGGGGGGATGGGGTCGGCGCCCTGGGCGACGAGGTTGAAGCCGGGCGACTTGCGCAGGTTGGCGACGTGCAAGGCGCGCTCCTCGGGCCAGCGGCGGCGGAAGTAGGACGCGTGCAGCGTGCGAATGTCGCTCGAGTGGTACTGCGGGTACTGGCCGTTGCGGGGCTTGAGGCTCTTGTCGAAGATGCTGCCGCCGGCGACCGAGGCGGCGCCGAAGAAGAAGATGGCGAGGCCGGGCTCGTTGCGGGGCGAGAACTCCCAGGTGATGCGGATGCGATCGGGGAAGACCTCGGGCGCCCAGAAGACGAAGTGCTGGTCAATGGTGCCGCCGCCCGAGAGCTCGAGCACGCCGTCGACGGCCGTCGCGTTGACGGGACCTTCGGCCACCCAGGTTGCCACGTCCGCCGTCGAATTGAGCGGGTTGCTGTAGAGGAGCTTCTCAGCGGCCATAGTCGGCGCAATGAGGGCCAGAGCCCAGAGGAAAGATGCCTTCATCGTGACGTGTCGACGCGGGTGTGGGCGGGCAGAGGCAGTCGAGTGGCAATCGTGAAGCAGGAGCGACCTTCGAGGGACCGATGGTGACGAGCAGGGGCGGTTGGGAAGCAGCTCTTGCCAAGATGATGTGCGTGCCCCCTCCAGTCTTTATTATACCTTCCCCGGACGAAAGCATCGCACATCCGCCGGAGCGAATCCCGAGGGCGACATTGTACAGAGAGTGAAGCTGCAGTAACCAGGGGATCGTCGTTGCGTCGGTGTAGTCCAAGCCGAATGACCGAGTAGCGGGAGTTCATCATGCTCGCGTGCTGTAGGCAAGTGCCGGACTAAGCTCATCCAGGGCGATTGACCCGTAATTGGGCTTCTGTCATTGCAAGCCGAGAAGGTGCAATTGATTAGAGATGCACCTGTCATTCGGCCAACGGTTATATCTTCTTGGGACCCTGCAGCTTCGTCCCACATGGTGCAATTGACCCCTCCAGGCCGAGGATCCTTGATGAACTGCTCTTTGACGATCAACGAGAGGAGCATAATTGTCTGCCCGGAATGTTCGGTGCCCATTTGTCTACAGATGAGCTCGCCTTCAACCACCAAACTCCTCGTGTCAACCACGTGGCTGTGACCACACGACTGCGACCACACGCCTTCGGCCATGCAGCCGACGATGCCTGCATGTGTGTGGCCAGCAGGTGAACATAGATCAGATCCTCATGTCTTAGATCGGGAGGGCTGGAGAATATGCAGTTGGCATCTCATCAGACCAAGCCTTACAATTGGCACCAAGATGCCGCCTCAGAAGCTCGTCATCGCCGCAATGTCCTCATGCCGAGCTAATGGTTAATCCCGCGGCTAGGCCGGCGTCAGGGCGCAGAATATTTGGATTCTATTCGGAAGTGTGCCGATAAGACCTGACAGAGCAGCGAACATGCAGATGAGCCCTGGCTTGGAGACTCCTTGTGGATACGTCAGGTCAGTGGTCAGGTTTCGAAGAATGGAGAGATTCGCCTTCCAGAGAAGTTGTCGACGTTGACCATGAAAACCCCTTTACTTACCATCGAAAGTAATGACGGCGGGCTCCCTCGAAGCTGCTCCAGTATCAAGAGCTTCTAGCACGACCAAGACACATGACACAATACAAGCACATCATGGCATGCGATGGTAGTCAGAACTTGAGGCTGCTCTGTCACGACAATAATAATGATTTAGGTATCCCAGCACAGAGGAGGTCCATCTGACGAGAGAACCCCCCATAGGAACAGTAATATTGAACGAAGATGCTACCATGCTCCGTTGTCTGGAGAAGCGTAGCAAGACGCCCACCAAGACCTAGTCCGACAGCGGCTGACAACGTATATGAAGGGGAGAGAGTTTAGATTCCGCCATGGGAGACGTGGCCGAAAGCCCTGCCCTCACTCTGACTCTGGTGTTGAATTCTCTTTGTCGACGGAGCCGTCGTGAGAGGACCGCAAGTCACGGCTTGCGAGTATTTTTTGCAATCGGAATGATGTTCGGACTCTAAGTGAGTTTTGTTGGAGGTCTCAGTATCTATTTACTCTCTGATAGGACAAAAGGGCGCTTGAATCCAGCTTGAATCCTATGGGACCCTACAGCTCGTGTTAGACAATGCAAGAAACACTCCAAAGTGTAGGGCAAAAGCGTAGCAGCTCTTCCAACTCCCATGGTAGCTTCAAGGTACGGTCAACTTACGGAACGAGAAGAGATGACTGAAACTGACTTTGATGTTGTTGATACGACGTGGTGTTTGGTGTAAAAATGTAACTCTTCAGGTGTTGGCCATGGCTGAATGAGGAGAACTCGGAATGCCGTATTTCCTTTGGGCCTTGCTTGGGTCCTCACAGACGGCATCAGGGGACGCGCCCCTTGTTGAAGTATCCCAGGCCAGGGCCAGAAGTACAAAAAGCTGTATCAGACGGAGATAACCTCCTAGCCTTCTCTCATGTTCAACTCCATTAGCTGGTGGTTTCCACGGTTTCTTTGTCGGTATGAACTTGGCCAAGTCTGAAAACTCTGCTTGTCAAATCCCCCTACAAATTCTGAGAGTCCAAACATGCAACTGCCATTAATTCACTGCGTGCCTGGCTGTGGGCTTTGTTGCTGCTCAAAAATCGTGGCCACTCACGCGATAGCTTCATGTGCGAGCGTGGGGCCGCACTGTACCCCTTTCGGCGTCGCAGCCTAAATCAGGGCGGTTTTTGGTGGCAGAACAGTGTGAATGCAAGTTTAGGCTACGGCTGATTGCGCTGTGAGCGGCCAACGTGAGAAAACTATAAAGGGCAACCTCTTTCTGCCTCTTCTCTCGATCTTCTTCCTTTCCTCCATCACACGCAACGTTCCCCAAGCCTCAAGCTCGCTTTCAACAAAGCCTTCTTTTTTCCAGACCATCAACAAACCTCACTTCGAAGTAAGTCATCAAGTCTTCTTCACAATACATCCTTTCTTTATTCATCAGGTTGGTCTCCCCTTGTTTGATCCTGACCTCTTCCTCCATCCAGCACCCTCAACCATCAAAGATGTCTTCCATCATCAAGATGACCGTCTTTGCCACCTCCATTGCCTCGATGGCTTATGAGGATAAGATCAGTAAGTCTCTATACTCGACCTCGACTTGCCAGTCTCTAATACCTCCAAGACTTCCATGGTCTTGAACTCACCACCATTGGTGGCGGAACTCAGGTTGCCACTGGCCCCATCGCCGTTGATGGTAAGTTACCCTCGTCCCCCATCTTCTCAATCTTCATCTCTAATGATCTCATGATTACAGCTCTGTACTCCAGCGTCTGCGTTCCGATCATCCTGACCACCCTTTCCTGCGAGACCATTACTCTTCCAACCATCACCACCGAGGAGATCATCGTCTATACCCCCATCACTGAGGTCACTCCCGTCGAAGAGGTCATCACTTCCACCGAGGTGATCACCACTTCTGAGGAGACCCCCTCGACCGTGGTCGTTCCGACCACCGCCATCCCAACCGAGGATGTCGTTCAGAGCGGCGTTTCCGCCACTCACATCTCCCTTGGTTGCCTCCTCGTGGCCGGTCTCGTCTTTTCGACCCTTTTCTGATCAACTGATGACATCTTCATCCTCGCTTTCACATGGCTTGTGGATCCCTTGGGTGGAAATAACGGGTTGGATCGGTCTTGAGTTGGGAACTTGGCAAGGCTCATAGATGCTTGATGGCTTTTTAGTCATCTTGACACTTGTACAATAGGTTCTTTCCCATAGTTCTTCTTTCGAGAAGTGCTTGTCTGAACGGGAAAAGGAAGAAAATGAGCAAGATTGCCTCCCCAAAATAATTTGCCCTCGCGTGACTTGTTTTGTGCGCCTCGTGACGCGGTTCGATCCCGGGGCTTGATATTCTGTTGCCCTGACTTGGCTTGACGTGAGCTCCCGGAGGGGGGGGGGGGGGGGGGGGGGGGCGGTGCTTTAATTGAAAAGATTGCTACGGTGTCGGGACAGGGAACTCTATACGGCTTGACGTGGCTTTGAATAGGTACGTCTCCGTCACTGCATCTGCTTATTGCCCCAACGAGATGCGAGTTTAGTTGAGATCCTGTCATCAGCAGGATCTGATGAAGTAACGACTTGGTCGTTCCTTCTGTTGTGCAGTTCTCCCAACCTTGCGGACGACGACTTTGACGTGCAGGATTTTCAGCAATCAAGACGGTTTCAGTTCCTCAATATATGCCTTCTGACGCCACAACAAGAACTAAGGAAGCCTTGGATGACGCAGACTCTTCGTCAGCTGGAGTTCCTGGCCAGCTCTGACCAGGAACAAGCTGGGGTCAGCCAGACGCGCAATCCTGCGCTTGCTTTCTTAAGATCACGAAGTTATTCTGGAAGCTTGAGGCACGCGGAGACGACATCACGGATCTCGAACCCAAGCTTCAAGCCATAGCCCAGAGAAGTACTCGTTATTTCTCGCATCGTTTTGAAAATTACCTATTGACTCCCAAAGAAAAAGCCAGAAGATGATAGCCGAGTCGGGCCTGGTATTCGGCAAAGTCCAGCTGCCACCACGACGCGACAACACATTGCGCAAAGAAAAGGGGTATCACCATCTCAACCTATTGCTCCGACCAGCATCCGATCCCCATGAACCCTTGCCATGTCGAGACAGCCGAGAACTACCAAGGAATATGAAACGAAAAGCCTTTCAGAATCAGCCAGCTGACGATTGCTTGCTGCGTCAATCGTACACAAAAGGAACAAAGAAACGGGACTAGATAGCTGATGACTCTCAGAGAACCCCAGCAACAACAGCCATGACGGCTCCATAGACGCCTATGCATAGGATACAATCCTGAGTGCCACCTAATCCAACAAGCCCGTTGGCCCCCATTCGCAGGACACCGGCCTGTAGAAGAGCGGCCAACAGGCCGCCAGCAACAATCATGACGACAGCCATGCGTCCGATGTAGCCCGGTATCACAATAAAACATAAAATAGGCAGCAGGAACGCGGCAGATATAGCGATAAGAATCTGCGGCATTGAGGAAGCTGGGGTTCGATGACTTCCATCATGAGCATAAGCGACTTTGGTGGAACGATAACTGCCCAGGTCAGACAACGGACTGTTTGGCGTCGGCGGGAAGACCATAGTCCGGGGCATAGGAGTTTGGAGGTCATCCGACGAGAACTCGGGCGCCTGATAAGTACTATGAGGCCTGGCGAGCGACACGAGGTCATCTTCCGGGTCGAGAAACCTGGCTTCCGGTTCAACTACAGGTTGGCGATTGTTGAGGTAGTCGCGATATCGGTCGATGTCCGCAGGGGCAGGAGCGCTGAGGTTTTGGGATTCCTTGAACGAGACGAGGGTCTTATCTGTTCCGGTTAGATACCGCCAATGAATAAACTTGGCGATTGACCTACTATAAAGTTCGAGTTTGAACCCAATCTTGCCGAGGAGGTCCGTCTTCCACCAGTGAAGATCTTTTGACGAGGTAGATTCCTGGCGCCTTGATGCTGGGAGGACGCCCTGATGATATTGGCGAGATTGTGTATCGGCAGCATCCAAATGGCGTAGTTGCTCCTCGAGCTCAGCAAGCTCATCCTGCAAGTGCAGCAAGAGCCTATGGTTCAAAAACTCGAACCGTCGATACATAGGCTTGATCACAGGCCCACCCATGCTATTTGACGACAGGTTCGTGGCTAATAGCTCGTAGCCACTCATGGGCATGTGCTCAGGTCGCCCGTGCTGCATGAAATCGAATGAAGAAGGTAGATACTGTGGTTGTGACTGCATGCCGTTGGGAGGGCCATCGTGGACCTGGTTAGAATGTGCCGGGGGCATCATTGGGCCGGCATCCCACATGGACGGATGCTGATGGCGTTGATGATAACTTGAGGCTGTTGAAGTCCCGCCCGCTGGCAGCATCATAGGCTTGGACCAATCCTCGTTGACGCTGCGGTCCGGGCTGCTGAGGGTCCCGTCCGTCTCATGGCCACGGCCTGGCTCTGAGAAAACGTCGCTATGGATGCTTGGCGCACCAGATGAAGTGGTGCTCCTGGTTGGGGAAGTACGACTTGGTAAATCCGCCAACTGCCACGAAGACATGTCTCCCCGTGTTCGTTGGACTGGCTGCCTTGTACCAGGTGGTGAGCCAGGCTGGAGGAAGCTCATGACATCGGGCCGCTGATGGATTTCGGGGGAATGACTAGTTTGCTTGTCGCGAGGACGGATCTTCTGCTTGTACGTATCTCGGTCTCTGTCACTGTTGCGGCGATTGCTCGCCGGTATTTGGGTGACGGTAGAGGCGCTGCCACTGGAGCTCCCGGAGCCGCTCGTCTTGGCTGTGGAGGCTGTAAGAGTAGACGTGGAAGGAGAAGGGGGTCTTGGAGCTGGAGCGTGTAGTTTGGCGTCTTGGGAAGGCTTATTTGATGCTGACATGGACGAAGAGAGCGAATGGTCCGGGGATCTGACACGAGAGGAAGCGGGGACTCCGGCCGCCGGAACAGAGGCTGTCCTGCATACTGGGGCGGTCCGTGACCGACGTCGTGGCGCCTGAGCCATGAGTGTGGCATTCGACGTCTGGAGTTCAGCGACTGGATCTTGAGCCTGGGTGTCACCGGTGGACGCCGAGGACGGAGGGTGTTCAATGACACCAGCGGACTGGTTCAATATGTGGTCAGGTTGTTCTTGACTGCTGAGATTGGCCGTCTCGGGGCAGGCTTCTACAGATGGCTGCCGGTATTGGGGTGACATCTCGACTCAGTGTACGGGCATGAGTTGAAGGGTTTGTGCATTACTTAATGGATGGATCGAAGCGGCACTTCTCGAGAGTGCACCTCGACGCGGGCTGCTTTCAGTTACGTTGATGGTGCAAGGACTCGATACGGATCATGTGGGTAGTCCTCAACGAAGTATCTATTGAGGAGAAAAAGGGAGGGCAGAGTACAGATTGAATACAAAGGTAGAAGCAGGGCCAGGCGAAGGTGAGTTGATGTGATGAAGCGAAATTCGAGTGATAATACAGATAGGCGACAAAAGTCGAAGAAGGATGAATCAGCGCTTCATGACAGCAGCCGGGAACCTATCTCGTGGGTAATCATGTCAGATAGAAACAGATCTGAAAAAACAAGAGAAATGAATGACTGAGGGGTGATCTTGCGAATGGAGGGGGGGGCAAGCAACGCATTAAAAGCCATCTGCGGTCAGCCGCGCCATTGCTCCTCGCGCCGAGTGCGTCCTGCCTTGCGTACCCCTTTGCACCTTCTCGTCTAGGTACGCACTACCCTTCCTAGGTACATCCTGGTAGGTAATGAATGCCACCATTTTAGGTATCGGTACCCAAGGAAGGCGCCCCCGGAGCAGATGTTTCAGAAGACAGAGCAGGAGGCGTTGGTGTCAGGAGGACAACACAAGGGGGCCAACAAGGGGGGCGGAAGTCAGGGGCCATTTCCAGCTGCCGGGCTTCTATGACTGGGCGCTCCCGATGAACAAGGCGAGCGAGCTCTGGACATGGACACGCTGCACTCGCACTGAGCACCACGGGGCGTTTGGTCTAATCCAATACAGCGTCATGGTGCAGCTTGGGTGGGTCCGGGGGATCTTAAGGCGCCATGAGGTGCTATTTCGGTGGGCTTATGTCAGCCCAACTTCCACCAGATGCCTTCGCGTTGGCCCTCGGGTGCTCCCGCGTTCTTTCAACAGAGCCTTTTAGCTCTACGGACGATCTCAAGCTACCCCCCAACCTGGCTCGGGGATGCTCAACCTTCAGCTTCATTTCACCATATCAAGACGAGCCCGAGCCCCGTGAGACCTACTCAGCCGTCGAGTCGAAGGCCTGGCACCCCACTCAGGGCGGCCTCAGGTGTAGCGTCCGCCCAATCCCGACGACCCGTCCGACCGAATCTGCAACCCGAAGCAGCACTTCCGACGACCACCCAATCATTACCGCTGCGATCCGGGGCCAATGCTGTGAGGCCACATACATCCCACGCTGAGTGTGTGTGTGACATACCTGCTTGACGTCCTGCCCGTCCCTTGCTGTCCATCCGGCGTCCGAGACATCGAGATCCGGCTGGTGTACGCCTTGCTTCATCGAGTGACATTGTCGCCCAAGCGGCTCAGAGCAACCCACCCAACATGTCGCGTATACCAACACGCGAACTCGGGCGATACCTGCTCCAGGGCCAGATATGCCAGAGAGGCTGCGTGGCGTCGTCGGTGTCCAAAAGCAGAGCCAAGCAACTGAGTCGCCATCATCAACTGCCACATGACCGATACCAGCCAACGCAGGCCAGACACGCACACACTGTAGCAACCACGGCGACAGCCGCCCAGCTCGCACCATCTGTTCCGTTGCGCAAGAAGCTCAAGGACGAAGCGAAACAACTGAAGAAGGATGCCAAGAAAGACAGCCGCAAGGGCTCCAATCAGACGGTTGATGGCTGGGAGCTGACCGTCGGCATTGAAATTCATGCGCAACTTAACACGGCCCGGAAGCTTTTTTCGCCAGCCGCCACCTCCTTCAATGACGCCCCGAACTCGCACGTCGCGCTCTTTGATCTGTCAATGCCTGGCAGCCAGCCCATCCTACAGAAGGAGACTCTGATCCCAGCGTTACGGGCTGCCCTCGCGCTGAACTGCGACATACAGCCTATCAGTCGGTTCGACAGGAAACACTATTTCTGGTGGGACCAACCGTCTGGCTACCAGATTACACAATACTACGAGCCTTTCGCCAGAAATGGACAGATCACGCTGTTCGCCCGCGATGGCATCGCCCCTGAAGATGGAGAGAGCGTCACGATCGGTATCCAGCAGGTCCAGATGGAGCAAGACACCGCCAAGACTCTGGCGCAACCTGGCGACACACATTGGCTCGATTTCAACCGCGTAGGAGTACCCTTGATTGAGATTATAACAAAGCCGGAGCTTCATCACCCTCGCACGGCTGCCGTTTTTGTTCGCAAGATGCAAACTCTTCTCAACGCAGTGGATGCCTGTGTGTCCGGCATGGAGACGGGCGGCCTGCGAGCTGACGTCAATGTTTCTGTCAGGAGAACAAGCGACGCATCTGCGCCACTTGGAACCCGCACTGAAATCAAAAACCTGAGCACCATCAAGGCTGTTGAGGACGCTATCATTGCCGAGCGAGATCGTCAGATCCAGGAGCTTGAGGCTGGCGGGACCATCGCAGGCGAGACACGAGGCTGGACTTTAGGAACGAAGCAAACCCGCCGCTTGCGCGGCAAGGAGGGCGAGGTGGACTATCGGTACATGCCGGATCCAGACCTGGGCCCTCTGATCATTGCAGATGATCTGGTTGATCACATCAGAAAGTCAGTTGCTTATTTGCCGGACCATGAGCTGTCTGAACTCGTCGAAGTTTACGGCCTCACGGCGAAGGATGCACTTTCCCTCCCGTCTCTCGACAATGGCGGCCGGATCGAGTACTTTTATAACGTCGTCGAAAGTTTTGGAGCTCTGCTGCAGCAGGCCACAGAGGGTGGACAGGATGTCAGAGCGTATGCTCCTCTGGCAGCCAACTGGATTCTCCACGAATTCGGGCGTCTTGTGGACGATGTTTCCGACAATGAAAGCACGCCATTCGAGGTCGGCCCTGACGGACAATGTGACCGCGTTCCAGTCGAGTCTCTCGCAGAGCTTCTCTTCCACCTGCAGCAGAAGAAGATTACCGGCAAGGTTGCCAAAGAACTTCTCACGGCATTGCATCAAGGGAACCTCGCCGATGCAGAGAACATGACGGCCGCTATTGATGCCCATGACCTGTGGTTCCATGAGCTCTCGACCGAAGAGTATCAAGAGCTGGCCGAATTGGCGGTCGAAGGAGAGGATAAGGTCCTGCGCGAATTCAGAGAGAAGAAGGTTTACCCGCAGGGTAAGCTGATGTATCTCGTGGGCAAGATGCTTCGCCTAGGCGCCACCGAAAGGATCGATCCGTCGAATGCGGAGAAATTCATGCGGGCTAAAGTCGAGGAGCTCCTTTGAACTTCTTTAGAGGGAATTATGTTCACTGTAAGATGACGCCAGACTCAACTACCTATGTAACCACCTTTCCATGTACAGTCTGTACCTGATAGTCAACCGAACGCCTGTGTTTTTCCCAGAACCTGAACCATGTATACAAAGTGCTTTAATCGTGACGCTCCTTCCTGGGCGTGATAGCCCCATGATTCGCAGCCGCTACGTCAAATGCCCAACCGTCGCGCTCCCGCAGGAACTTTTCGATCCTCTCCTCCCTCCCCTTGCCCGCCGTCTCCCGGCCCTGCCGCCGCAGGGCCTCGTTGATGGCGAGCTCCTGGAGCCCGCGCTGCTCGACGACGTGGGCCGCACTCTCGCCGGCCCTCGACGCCTGCATGGCGCTGCCAATGGCAATGACGGCCAGGATGAGGGCGACAAAGTGCGTGTTGGACATGAAGACGGGCTGCTGCGGCACGGCGTTGCCGTCGCGTGCGGCGTGCCACCGCTCCCAGTCCTCCCACGTGGCATTGTTGGCGGCGTTGCCGGGTTTCGTGCGCCAGTGGCGGTCGGCGGCGCGGGCCCTCTCGCGGGCGGGGCGGCGGTCGAGGGCCCAGCCGGCGCCGTGGGCGTCGTAGGCCTGGCGCTTCTCGGGGTCGCTGAGGATCGTGTTGGCGAGGACGATGAGGCGGTACCGCTCGAGGCGGACGGCGGCGGGGAGGCCGGTCAGGCCACGGGGCGCGGCATGCCCTCCTTCTCGGGGGTGGGTGTCGGGGTGGTAGAGCTTTACGAGCTCGTAGAACCGTGCTTTGGTGTAGGGGGTTGCCTTGTCGATGGCGAAGATATCGTAGGGGGTCGGGTTCGAGTGCGAGGGCCAGCGGTGGTGAGCGGCGTGGCTGTCATGTGCTGTGGCATAGGACCGTTGGCTGGCAAGCGGGCTGGAAGGTTGCTGAGAGCCGGTGCCTCTGGTCGAGGTGTGCCATTTACATGATGACGTTATAGATGTGGTGGGGTTCGAAAGGAGCAAGCAGCTGGAGTAAAGGGTCTTCGAGGCGAGGTTTGAGGCCATGACGCGGGAGGGTGAAAGCTCACGACCAGACCTGATGGCTGGCGGGCATATTGCGTGGTTCGCGAGGTGATGAAGGGGTGCAAGTCTTGATGGACTGATTTGGGAATTGGAACGGTGATGGCTACATGAGCGGAGTGATGATGGTCGCGCGACACTCGGAGTCGCTACCGAAGGCAGGGTAGCACCCACTAGGCACTAGGTACCAGGCGAGGGACCAGGCGAGGGACCAGGCGAGGGACCAGGCGAGGTTTCTATTGCGACACTGGCAGTACCTAGCCCTCAACTCCAACACGCGCATTCTTGCTCAACCCCGCCCCGACCTCCAAAGACGGCAGTGATTGGCTGATCCGATGGTGCAACGACTTACAGTACTGGGTAGGTATACTCACCTAGGTAGGTACCTAGGTACCTTAAGGTAGGTACATGTAGTCTATTACACTTCTCGCCTAATCAGTTCATCCATTCAGTCAGGCTGGTTAAGGCGTCAAGGTGCCTTATTAGTAGTAAGGTACGTAGAAAGAACCTCCAATGCGTTGTCGATCAATTCTCTGCTTATTTGGCCTGCCTAACTTACCTTATTACCTTACCTAGTACCTAACGCAGTTATCTAATTAAGTTGGCTTTTTGTCTACCACCTGAGAGGCAGCGGGTCAACAGGTTCGAAGATGTACCTATGCAATGCAAATGGTGTTGGCTGAAGGCATTGAACTTTCTCTCCGCCCTCGTTCGAGCATCCTTGCCCTTCGTCGAGCATCCTTGCCCTCCGTCGTGCTCCAGGGCTTTGCCAAGCCGTGTGCGAGGACACATGCACGCACCACGTAGAAGGTCTTACCTGGTAACCCTCGTGAAGCCGTAAGGCCCTTGCCCCGCTTCCACTGCATTCCTCCCTTTCCCCATCACGTGACTCCACGCACCTGAAGCTCCCTGGCCTAAACCACTGGAGGACCCGCTCGACAGCGACGAAAAGCCCGGTGCGAGCGTCAAACCTGCTCCCCTACAACCATCACAACCCGTTCTACTACATCAACTCTCCACGATCACCACACACGCCGCGACAATCCTCACTCCACCTACCAGTGAGCAGACACAGATCGACTCCTTATCAACTGTAAACATCACCAATCGTCTGACACATCACAATTCGCGGCTGAAGTTCAATTAGCTCTCTGCCTGCATCCGAGACTTGCATCATCCTGCTCTTCGGTTCCCTTGTGATCTCTTGCCTACCGCCCCCTTGGTCACCTCCCTCTCAACGGTGCCGCCCTACGCCCGCCCGACACCACGCAACAAACGTCCTCGACGTTCGCTTGATTTCGACTCTCTCCCCAAACCTTCAACAATCAACCAAAGTTCACTGGCGGCCTCATTCTGCGCCAAGCCGACCTCCCCTCGTGATTGTTAGCGGGCCACAGCCTTCCCGCTCCCCCACGCACAAGACCAAATCCGAACCGACTTCTTCCCTCTCGACTCCCACAACACGTTACATACAACCACCGGACCAAAATGTCAGACGCACTCGCAGACCAGTTGAAGGGGACCTCTCTGAAGTAAGCTTTCCATGCCCACTGTGAACTCGGCTCCCGTCCCGTGCTGACAGCCTTGACCAGCGACGCCGCGTCCGAAGACTGGAAGAAGAACCTCAAGCTGCCAGCGAAAGACAACAGGCAACAAACTGAGGTAGGTGCCAGGACTTGCTGATGCGGAAGCGGTGCTCTTACACTTTCAGGATGTCACAAACACGAAAGGTCTGGAATTCGAGAACTTCCAACTGAAGAGGGATCTGCTGATGGGAATCTTCGAGGCCGGTTTTGAGAAGCCCTCGCCCATCCAAGAAGAAGCCATCCCTGTCGCCCTGACCGGTCGCGATGTCCTGGCCCGCGCCAAGAACGGCACCGGCAAGACCGCCGCCTTCGTTATCCCCGCCCTCGAAAAGATCAACCCCAAAGTCTCCAAAATCCAGTGCCTCATCCTCGTCCCCACACGCGAGCTCGCCATGCAAACATCTCAGGTTTGCAAGACTCTCGGCAAGCACCTCGGCATCAACGTCATGGTCACCACTGGTGGCACTGGCCTTCGCGACGACATTGTGCGTCTGCAGGACCCCGTCCATATCGTTGTCGGAACCCCTGGCCGTATTCTCGATCTCGCTGGCAAGACCGTCGCCGACTTGAGCGAGTGTCCCATGTTCATCATGGACGAGGCAGACAAGCTCCTGTCCATTGAGTTTACTCCCGTCATTGAGCAGTTGTTGCAGTTCCATCCCAAGGATCGCCAGGTCATGCTCTTCTCCGCGACTTTCCCCTTGTCGGTCAAGGACTTCTCTGACAAGAACATGGCCAACCCTTACGAAATCAACCTCATGGACGAACTCACTCTCCGTGGCATCACCCAATACTATGCCTTTGTCGAGGAGAAGCAAAAGGTCCACTGCCTCAACACGCTTTTCTCTAAGCTGCAAATCAACCAATCTATCATCTTCTGCAACTCGACAAACCGTGTCGAACTGCTGGCGAAGAAGATCACCGAGCTGGGCTACTCATGCTTCTACTCTCACGCCAAGATGGCGCAGCAGGCTCGCAACCGTGTTTTCCACGACTTCCGCAATGGTGTGTGCCGCAACCTCGTGTGCTCGGATCTCCTCACTCGTGGTATCGATATCCAGGCCGTCAACGTTGTCATCAACTTTGACTTCCCCAAAAACGCTGAGACGTATCTGCACCGTATCGGTCGATCTGGTCGTTACGGTCACCTTGGTCTCGCCATCAACCTGATTAACTGGGAAGACCGCTTCAACCTATACAACATTGAGAAGGATCTCGGCACGGAAATTCAGCCCATTCCTGCCAGCATCGACAAGGCCCTGTACGTTTACGAGAACCCCGAGTCTATTCCCCGTCCCGTGTCCAACTTCAGGACGGGCCAGGCTCAGCAGGCTCCCACCCAGGCGCAAGCACCTGGCCAGCAGCTCCAACAGCAGCAGCAGCTTCAACCCCAGCAGCCGCAGCAGCCGCAGCAGCAGTCTGGTTTCTCTGGCCCTGCCCAGGGCAACTGGCAGCAGCAGCAGAACCCCAACGGCCAGCCGAATGGCTACCAGGGGCGTGGCAGGGGTCGTGGCCGCGGTGGCTACCAGGGCCAAAACCGTGGACGTGGTGGCTACCGCGGTCGCGGAGGTGGCGCGGGCGGCCAGGGCCAGCTGCCCCAGCAGGCCTAGTGTCGCCTTGACACGTGTCATTTTACGGCGTTTGGGGAGGAGGTTGACGAGGCCTACACGATTGCATTTATTGTTGGATTGTACATATTTTTGTTCCCACTAGCCAATGGCTGGTCCTGGAGGGCCATTCCTTGACGGCTGGGGTCTCAACGCGACTGGTTGGGTCGGCAGGCTCCAGCACCACCGAGGCGCGCTGCCATGAAAAGGCACCTTCACATATACATGACGGCTTACACCAACTCGGTTGTCGATTACGGCTCGGCAACTTCGACTTTTATGTCCATTGCGGACAGGATGAAATTTCGGATAATGGGCGGTCGTCGGGGACAGAGATGGGAATGGGGCGCTGGCTGTGCGTCTGCGAGCGTAGCGCAACGGGAGGGGTAGCGCGGGCTGTTCGGCAAGGGTATTGCACTCTTGACTGTTCACCACGCTGCACACTTCACCTGACACGATCTTGTCACGACTGGATGGCATGGGACGGCATCGGCATGGGTTTATGGGCGGAGCTCTCTACCCGGTCGTGGTAGAAGCTTCTTGGTCATTCTCATGATCATGCTCCAAGGCGTTTTCAAAGGCAGGGGCTGACAGACTCAGCTCGGCGTTCTCGGTCAATATCTGGCATTGTTTTGACTGTGCGGCGGGGGAGTTTTTCTCACAGCAGCGATGGAGATTTTGGAGGAGGAGGAGGAGGTTGAGTGAGATATGATCGAGAAGGCCACCATTGGCTGTCCTTTGCTCTGATTTTGTGGCAAAATCTCACGGGGTTGGAGGGAGTTGGACTTGGCTTTGCCATGTAGCGAGGTGGACGGATGATGACTGGCACACAGGTAGCTCCCCAAGCTTGGGAGCTCAAGGGTCGGAGGCGGTGCTCGTGGCATCATCGATACTGCATTGATGAGTTTTGCTCACGGACGACGTTCTGGCATGGGCTTGGCAAGCAGGGTGCGTCCTGTGGCGATACTGCGGTATCATTACTACGACATTGGGTCATACCCCGTTGGCGGCATTCGGGATGGTGCGGACGGAGTGGCTTCGACTTTGCGCAAATGATACCCACAACGGCACACGACCACACAACACATTACTTCGGAAAAACAAACAAAAAGTTGGGGCGAGATCGCTAGATGAACGGCTTTTGGGCTGGTCGGGCTGGCATGGTGCACTGGGGGATGTGTACAGCGGCTGCGACTGGCGAGCGCGCTTCTCTGAGCAGATAGACTTATTGAGTCATTCTCCTCCACTTGGCAATCTTGTGTTTGACTGTGTGAATGCGTCATGTTGAAATGGCCAACTTTTTGTGACGTGCATGACATTGTGGTTTCCCAGAATTCTACGTTGTCACTTTTGAAAGCACCGAGCCCGAGTGAAAATCAACAACCGACAGGCATCGAGGCAATCGCTTGCACTGCAACGTATCATCAGCACGACACGTCGGATCGATCACGATATTGTCGACTGCGCTCCTGCGACGCGCGTCAAGGCATGTACACCACTCGTATAGGATCAATCGCGTGTGGCATCGAGCAGATGATCTAAAGAAATATGGTGCGTATCGGTTCGTCTCCGGATTTTATGAGAGCCAGACGACATGGAAGAAGATGTCGAACGGCGCAATTCTAGTCCGGGGTCGGCCGCTTGGCCTGTTCGCTTCAGATTGGAAGCTGTGGGAAGCTATCAGTCCCAGCGTCCGCTCTGCACTGAGGAGTTGGGCCGGGGGCAGATGTTGCACAAGCTATTCAACGAGCTTCGCGACATCGTCCTGCTCCTGGGGGTTACTCCCTGAGATGTAGACGCTGTCGACAACGAATGGTTGGGTTTGGATGAGGAGGTGAGAGGAGATGAGGTTGGATCTGGCGCAGAAAATTCAAGGGTGGGAGATGAAGGTGCATTGACCGGGGTGTCGCTAAACGAGAGGTTAGTCTCGCTTAGACGAATATCTTTGTGAGTGAATTTACTCGGTTAGTGCAGCATCGGATGTTCGACCACGACTCCATCTTTATTACCGTCTTGTTGAACCATGCAACACGCTAAAGGATCTTTTGTCAATCTGAACATGGATAGGTATCTTCTATACTGCATCAGAGGGCCAAGACCGAGCTTGACGTGCTCCAGTATCTGACTCCTAATCTGCTTCTTCGGGTCAGTCTGGTGAACACGTTACCAGTATCAACGAGGGTGACGAGGACGTCGTCGTAGAGACGAGTGGCGGCCGGATGATTCGCAGCCGCTATGTCGTTGGCGCAGACGGTGCACGTTCGACTGTCAGGACAGCCCTGGGCATCAACTTTACCGGCACCAAGCCCGAGATGACGTGGGCCGTTCTAGACACGTTCATCGACACTGATTTCCACGTCTGTTCGGAGATCGTCACGTTTCAGCTGAACCAGGAGAGCCGCGTGGCGTGGATCCCGCGGGAGCGGGACCTGGCTCGTTTCTATGTTCTTCCGAGGGAGAAATCACCGAGGAGAGGGCGAAGGAGTCGATCCGGGCACACATGGCGCCACACCGGATCGACTCTGTCTGGACCGAGTGGTTCAGTACGTTTGAAGGTGAGTACACGAATCGATCCGACATTTCGCGTGGATGTCAAGGAGAAACAAGCCTCTGAGATCTGAAATCGCTAAAATCGAACAACAGTCAAGGAGCGCATCGCCTCAACGTTTGTTACCAAGGAAGGCCGAGGCCGCGTCATACTGGCTGGCGACGCAGCTCATGTCCACTCGGTCAATGGCGGACAGGGCCTCAACACGGGTGTCGCCGACGCCTTCGGTCTCGCATGGCGACTCGCATATGTGCTCACCAACAAGACGGCCAACAAGACGGCAGCGCATGATCTGATAAAGAGCTATAACGCGGAAAGACGAGTCGTTGCCCAGGGTGTGATCGACGTCGCAGCGACATCACCGGTAAGCCCAAGGTCTCGATTTTCCTTTCTTCTGCCCGTCATCTCCAGTTTTGTTGTCACACGATACGTAATTCTCTGAACTGACGTGGTATGCTTCAGGCATGGGGGTATCTTACGATGGCATCGGCTCAAAGCTGATCCACGACTCCTCCGTTGGCATCTGGACGGCGGGGCACCGTTGCCCTGATCTGTACCTGATGCCGACGTTAGACGCTGAGGCCAAGAGGTTGTACTCTCTTCTCTCGTACGGCAGACACCTGATTCTGCACGTCGGAAGGCCCGAGTCGCGGGCCGGTGGAGTAGCGAACAGGGCTATCAGCGACGGCGTCGCCCGCACATTCAGGGTTCTTCCCCGGCCAGAGGGTGCTGAGGCGCACGCCGATGTTTCTCCAGGCGTTGAGGTTTTCTGGCCCAACTGGGTTCGCCCAACGGATAACTATGTGGTCATTGTCCGGCCCGACTTGTATGTCGGTTTCGTGGAGGACGACAGCCAGGAGTGGAGGAATTATCTTTCATGCTTGACGTAGACAGCACGAGTCAAGCGGCAGATTGGAGTGGCTTAGAGGTTTGCGGAAGCGCGTTTGATTATTTGAGCATTTCTTCGCTGGGCTGTGCCTCCAAAGTGACAGTCGCCGATGCTTGCTTGCCCTTGGCATCGGGAAGCAATTTGAAGCCTTCTCCGAGCTATGCAAGATTGGCCCCTCTGAACACAAGCCAAACGGCTTAATCCTATAGAAAGGCCTATAGTGATCCTGAGTCTGGTTCCGACGAGTTAGGCTTTTCCCCACCGAGACGAGACTTGGCAGAGCTTATGCCGCCATCAGCATCAGCCACTATGCCTTGGCCGAGGCACGTCAGCTCTGGGTGCTCGCAGTGAGCCTCTACTGCACCTCGCGCAACCTCTCCGCGCATTTCGAAACAGCACTATAGCGTGGGGAAAACCCGCAACGACGTTGAGGCAAACGATGTCAGTGGCGCTGTCAGTGGTAAGGAGATTGCCGCGCGGTTTGCCAAGCCTCGGCATCTTGACTCGGTGTGTGAGCGAGATCCTGGCCTAATGCTTCACTGCTGTGGAACTAGGTTCTCACACAACCAGGTATTGCGACTGGCCTACCGAAGACACCGCCATGTGGCTCCCCCCACACATGCTCTACACATGTCAGTGTGCATCATACGCTCGCCTATCTCTCTGAACGATGATCCCATGAGCAGCCTGGCGTCACAGGCGGTGCTGCTTTCAAACGGGGTTGCAGGACACGCCAGGGGGGAAGCCAGTTCCACAATGCAACCTTCCAAGTTGGGTGTTTTCCGTTGCCACTTTTCGTGACGATGTGATGGGACCGACCAACCGCCTTGGGTGTGCCATGCTCTTTACAAACTTGCAGTGCCGAGACCCGGCTCACTGAGGAATCAGTAAGGAGCTTGCCTGACTGGGAATAAGCCAAGGCCGAACGGACGACAGAATTCTACCGCAACGGGTTGACGTCTGTACCTGGGAGGCCGGTGTGTCAGACTTTTTGTTGTTTGTTGGAAGCAAAGCCGGTCAAAATTGACTATGCCGTCTGCACAAGACGGAGTTCAAGCTGGAGAAGTGCTGATACAGAATGAACCAAAAATGCGAGTGCCGGATGACGCCGTGCCAGCAGAACAACCCCCAAAGCCGCAGCAGCGTCCAAACAAGGGCCTGAAGGCATGGCTTCAAGTGCTTGGGGCGTTTTTCATCTACTTCAATACCTGGGGTGAGTTCTGGAGACTTTTTCGATGTCTCAAGCCGAACTCATGGTGACGAGAGTCGTCATATGATGTACCTTCATGCTGACGCCTCCAGGGCTCATCTCAAGTTTCGGCAGCTTCCAGGCATCTTTTGAGAAGGATCTTCTCCGCTACCATACTCCCTTTGAGATATCAACCATCGGGTCTCTCCAGAGTTTCCTGATGGTGTTTCTGGGATTCGTGGCCGGCCCGGTCTATGATTTGGGCTACTCCCGCCAGCAACTGTGGCTCGGTTCGTTGCTCATCGTGCTGGGAACCGTCGCGCAGAGCTTTTCGACTAAGCTGTGGCAGCTCCTCCTGTCCCAAGGCGTTGTCATTGGCATAGGCCTGGGTATTCTTGCCGTTCTCGGCGTTGCTTTACCCTCACTCTGGTTTGACCGCAACCTACCCTTGGCGAACGGCGTAAATGCATCAGGCAGTGGTGTGGGAGGGTAAGCCGTCCTTCTTCTCATCACAATAGGAAGATCTGAATGGATAGCTAAGGTGACCAGTCTTGTTCTGCCCGTCGTATTCCGAAATCTACAGAATGCCGTCGGCTTCCCCTGGGCTGTTCGAACAGTAGCTGTCATCTGTCTGGTGACCATGGGCATCGCCGTCATGGCCCTCGAGACGCCAAAAGTCTCCTCAAAGCGCCGCGCTTTTGTCGACCGCTCCATCACTCACGACATGCCGTACCTGGCCTTCCTCGTGGCCTGCGTCTTCGTCCTGCTAGGTATCTACACCCCGTTCGTGTACATCCAGAGCTTCGCCCTCGACAACGGCATCGTGAGCGCCGGTCTCGCCACCTACATCCTCGCCATCCTCAACGCGTCGTCCATCTTGGGCCGCATCGTCCCCAACTTCTTCGCCGCCGAGGTAGGCGCCATGAACATGTCCGTAATAGCCACGGCGACCCTCTGCCTCTCGGCCTTTTGCTTCATGGCAGCCCGGAATGCGGCGGGCCTCATCATCCTGGCGGCCATTTACGGCTTCGTCGTCGGCACCTTCGCCCTGCAGCCCACCATCTTTGTGCATCTGACGCCTGATCCGACGTGTATCGGCACGACGTTCGGCATGGCTTTCACGGTCATGTCCTTTGCGCTGCTGTTTGGCCCTCCGATCGCCGGCGCGCTGCGAAGGGAGTTTGGCTATGACGGAGCATGGGGGTGGGCCGGCGCGACTCTTGGTGTTGGCATCTTGTTTCTTGCCCTCTCGAGGGGACTCGCCAAGGGGTGGTCCCTGAAGAGCAGGGTATAGCTGTGCCTTGCCACCAGATCATGAGAATAGACCGAAAGCGTGGATTCGCGAATAAAACTTGATACCAGTGCCAACAAACGACTCGGCATACACCTAACTACGCTGCCCAACCTGCAGAAGCCAGCACTTTTCTACAAGAGCCATACCTACAGCGACACCAGCGACCGCACAACCCCGGCGATCGGTGGAATGGACGTCAGCAACACGGTCATGGTGCCAAACAAACTCATGCTCAGACTCGACAGCGCCGCCGCGCGGGGGTCCGTCCTCAGCAGCACGGCCGTGGCAATCGCCGACGAGTTGGCCCCAAGCGTGACGCCTCTCGTGACATAATCGTCTGTAACAGTCAGTTCTCGAGCGAGAGAGAGAGAGAGAGAGAGAGAGAAGAAATTAGAACAAGGAAGCAGAAGAAGGACGTAGGAGAAGGACATACCCTCCGGAATCCGCATCCAGCGCAACATCCTCTCCCCGATGAGCACGCCCGCGATGCCGCTAAAGATGGCCAGCGCCGCCACGGCATTGACGTCGCCGCCGAGGTTCTCCGTCGCCGGGATCGCCAGCGCGAGGGTCAGGCTGCGCGACGCAAAGGCGAGGGCGCGGCGGGCCTCGATGCCGATGGCGAAGCAGACGACCGGGTAGCAGAAGAGGCTCGCGACGGCGAGGACGAGGTTCGGCAGGACGATGGCGAGGAAGTGGGCGCGCAGCTCGCGGCGGTACTGGTACATGGGCAGCGCGAGGGAGACGATGGAGGCGTCGAGGGCGGTGGCGAGCATGTCGCCGGCGCCGGGGAGGGTGGACGTTGCGTCGCCGGACCAGAGGCGGAGGTAGGTGGCGCCCGTTCGGTAGGGGGCCAGGGCTTTGGATAAGGGCCCGCCGCCGGCGAGGGCCCAGAGGGTCAGGACGCTGATGAGGGCTGTGACGAGGACGGGGTGGATGTATTGACGCCAGCTCAGGGGAATGGCGAGGGCGGCGAAGTAAGCCAGGATCGTGACGCTGAGCTGGAGGGGCATAGCATAGACCGAACTATAATACAGGGGAATGCCAGCGAACAGAAAGAGGGCACCGTATGTGAGGTGGTCGCTGTGGTGGGTGAGCCAAGCGGCCCAGATCTGTGTCCGTGGATGTGGAAGGGGAACTTGCGGCGGCAGCGAGGGAGGGACATTAAGAGCCGAGGTCTCGTTCAGATGGTGACCACCGGAGCGTAAAGTGTCCGAAAGAAATACATGAGAGGCGTTGCGCGAAGGTGGCAAGGGGGCGAGGGTGTTCAACGATACGGACGACGGGACAGCTGAAATGGGTGCAGATGTTGGCGCCGACGATGATTCTTCGCCGCGAGGTGTTGCTGCCAAGGGGATCTCATCCGTCTCGTTTCCCATCTCTTCAGCACGCTCCGCGATGGCTCGCTTTGAGGAACCGGTGACAAGCTGGATGCCACGCGTGAGATAGGCAGCCAGGGCCATCATGGCAAGGAAGCCCAAAACTGAAGGGGTCAGTGAGAATCCAACGAAGCATGCATGTGGGACGTACGAAACACAGCAATGATCTTCAGGACTTCCATGATCCCAATGGCTGGACTCAGGGGTAAAAGGATGAAAGACGGCGTAAACATGACGTTGATCCAGCGGAGGGACCAGCCGGCCTGCATTCCATTAGGCTCTGCAGCAAGCTTCGTTCCACAGGGCGCAGCTCACAGGCACGTCAATCAAGTCGACGACGAGTTTCGTCTTTCGCGCGCCAAGAACCATTTCAGAAAGCAACAGCACGGCGAACAAAAGCACCAGGCAGGCGACAGACGAAGGGAAAGACACGCCTGCGGCACGCAGACCAACGTGAACGGCGAAACAGAATGCCAGCATCACCATGATGCCGGAGGGCACGTAGAGCCACGATACCAGCAGCTTTGGGGCCGTTGTCGAAAGCGTCTGTACTTCCTATATCAGCCAGGGGTTTCACCCGTCAATACCGACGGCTAAACGTACCAATTTGAGGGCGCCTAGCCCGTCGCTCACGCCTTCACGAAGCCGCGTCATCGTGTCGGCCTTGTCTCTGGGTGCCGACTGAACCATTGTGACGTGAAAGAAATGCAAAATAACACGCAGTCTTTTGAACGAGGTAGTAAGCGGTTGACTCCGCTGCTTGTGAAGTTACAAATATGTTCTGGCTTGAAGAGCCTTGATGGCTCGGCGTTGTGTCGAGGATCGTCGGGAATGACGGCCGGACATGTTCGGCGATGACTTCCGATGTCGGTGCCGAATGTCCCCACTCTAGACCGATTTCTGTCATCTGGAAATTAGTGCTAATGGCCTTGCACTCTGCCTCGAAGTTATGTCTGAGACGTATTGCAGATGATAGCATGAGATATTGAATTTGCGTCCGGTCTTCTACTGAGAGCCGTCATATGATATACCTTTCCCCGAAAGCTCGCGCCTGCTTTGCTCAGCGTAAGCAAGCAAAGCTGGTATGCATATATGCCCTCCTGTGCCTCAAAATGCTCGCTGATATTCTCCTGAACCCCCACTTGCTCTCTTGTAGGAAGACTATCTGAGGCTTACTGGAGGTAAAACGACGTAATCAGGACCCGCGCTTTGATCTTCTCGCGGTTCGAAAGCGATAGGCTCCGACGCATGCCGGTATTGCGTGACAGCACGCTCATGGCCTGACGCGCGACCCTGAAGGTGGAATATATTTCTTCGGTGAGTTTCGCCTTGGCCTCCTCCGCCTTGATTTCAACCCATACGCGCGAGCGGTCTTCAAACTTGGCGCGACCATCCGATTTGCTTAGGCCTATTGCCACGGTTAGCTACCCAGCACTAACTCGCCTCCAGCCATCAGGTCGTCGAGGAACAAAACATACCCACAAGATGCTTGATGAGGCTGCGGACATTTGCCTTGCTCTTACCCACCCGCATGTGGTGGGCCTGCAGCATGATAAGCAGGTACACATGTTTCACGTGTGAAAAGTTGTCGATGAAATCAACCAGCTGCGAGGGGCATATCGAGTCGCAGTTAAATCCAGGGCCGCACAAGCGGTGCGACAAAGAGTATTTCTGACCCTTGAGTCCGCCCGCGTGGTTGCCGTCAATGCGGATGCCAATGTTGCGAACGTCGGGTCCCAGCGTGCGAATGCTCGCCGCCTTATCAATGACCAGCCGCCAATCGACAGCCGTGTGGCTCGGCTCGAAGCAATACACAGCCAGGTCCTTGTTCTTGCGGACGGTGCTAAGAGGTCTTTGCGCGATCTGTCGGTGCGCGCCAATGTGTCTCTCAACGAGCTGGCGCATCTCGGGGATGGCCTCGATGAGATCGTCGCCCCAACGCCACTTGGACTCCTTACTCATGGTGCCAAGAGTCATGGCACAGCATCGTCGTCGCGGAACGTAGCGAACAGTCACGTAGCTTATGTTCGGATTCATGTCCGAGAGGACCTCATCATAAATGTCGTAGCGAAGCTCAATGGGCAGTCTCTCGAGGAGAAAGCTCTTGTCCTTGTCGTTGGGGTTCTGCAGCCAGGTGCCGGCAGGCGTGACCTTGCGACCCTTGAGCATCATTCGAGCAACGGCTTGGCTAGTGACGGCAGATCGATCCTTTGCGCCTGCCTGCTTCTCACTTGTTTTTCTGGCGGCTCCTTTGATGTCGACAGAGTCTCGGCGACGGTTCAGCCTCTGATTGTTTCCAGCAGGTCGTTTAGGCATGGAGGATAACGGCGACCTCCTCACCTGTATCGACGATCGGTTAGTTGTGATCAAGTCATGGCTGCAAGGTTCAACTTGAGACTCACACGTCTGGCCATGGGCTGCTTCATTGTGCTGACTACCTAATAAGGCTTTGATGTTGGTGATTCAAGTCGATCGAGTGCAAGGTCGAACCACTTTGGAACCAGTTTAGAGGCAAAATGATGGGGACTGGCCTTTTGTAAAGAACGGAAATCTTGAACGATCGAGGCATGCGCCCAAAAGGCAGTTGCCTTTCCACAATGAGAAAGCAACAAAACGGGCAACGACCCTTTCGATAGGCGCTAGAATATCCTCGTAAAGACTCAGTGATGCACAAGCAACACGAAAGGCGTAGTCAACTTCAAGATGCAGACGAGAAAGCAAAATCTCGAGGATTGGTCCACCTCTCAATTCGTCGGCATATAGACGTTAAACGGGACCGGTCTGCAAATCCTCCTCGTCTCACCAAGGTACATGCCGTTACCATTGTTCCTCGACGCGACTTCCTGCATCTTTGCGTCTCTCCAAAGAAACAGATCCCGCGCCATAAGTCACCCTACCCAAGACATGATCGTGACACGCGCCGGTCCAAGAGCCAATTCAGACAGCCACAACGCGTCTACTTGCGTTCCTCGAACTCGAATTGCCCTGGCTGGGCTGCACCTCTGGATTCGCTGCCATCCAGCCCGCCGGCGCCGACCATGCGTTCGACAGCGTCCCGCGCGGTCGACGTCGGCATCCGCCCCGGCAGAAACGCCTGCTGGGCCCCAGGCGGCTGCGCAGTGAATGGAGACTGCCCCGCCGACCCTGGTGTGCGGTTGCTCGGATCTACGAACATGTCTTCGTCACGACCGGTTTCGGCAGCGAATCCATCCGCAAACTTGGCGTCCCTCCGCTGCTGCATCGCTGCAGCACTTGTTGGTGTGTCCCCGCCCATGATGACATCCCCTCGGCTTCTCGGCGTGTCGCTGAGTCCCGAATTGTTCCTTTCCAAACCCCACTGGACACCGGAACCACTCTGCGCGTTCGCCAGGCCAGGAATGGGCCGGCGGTGGTAGATGGGACCGGAGACGGTACTGTTGGCGCCTTCACCAAAGCCTACGAGGCTTGCTGAGCCGTCATCGCTCATGCGATCCTCGTAGCCACCGACAGATCGGGCTGCGCCATCTATGTCCTCATCCATGTGTTCGGGTTCACCAACGCTGGTGACGGAGCCCGAACCTCGATAATTTGTGTCCGTACTCTGCAGATCCTCGTCGCGATCGCCCGGGGCTGTGCGTGTCTCGTCATCGCCGCCCGCATAGCTTGCTGTGGCGCTGGCTGTGCCGACCGTGCTCATCTTGGTAGCAGCCGTTGGCTGGCCCTGGGCATCGAAGTAGGCTGGTGTCGGATTCGGGTTGTTCGGGGGGAAGCCGTATGTCGAGGTGGACGCGGTCTGCGGCGAGAAAGAATTGACACCGCCGGCCAGCTGCTGCTGGCCCGAGGCGCGCAGGGTCGAGACCCGCTCGAGGCCGGCAAGGCGCGAGATGCGGTCAGCGCGCTCGGCCTCGAGGCTCTGGGTCGAAGGGTTGTGAGTGTGACCTCTGTCGGTGTGTCCATGGGGAAGATGCCCACGTTGGCCGTCTTTGATGGCTGTGGTCGAGAGGGCGGACATGGAGGTGGTGGTGCTCGTGGGCGTGCCGCTGTTGCAGTTTCGGTCAGCTCACTGGACTCGCGAAGAAGGATTCTGGGTAACGCACGGCATTTCCGAGGGCGTGTCCGGGTTTGAACCTGGAGGAGGCAGGTTGATGAGAGTGGGGTGAGGCTGCGCCATGGTGATGGCGGCAGACAAGCTGATGAAGAGCTTGATCGAGGAAGAAGAGTCGTTTCAGTCGTCGATACGAGGGTGATGAGCAGCAGAGGGATGGTGCTTCAGGTCGACGGATTGGTGGTGGAAAAGTGGTGGTGGTAATAAAGGCACGGGGAAAGAAAGTTAACAATCGAGGAGAACAAGCTCAGGGACCTGCCTCCTGTGCGCCCCTTGATGACATGCGTGTCTACCCAAGGTACGGTGCTGGATGCAGGTGCAGGCGGCGCAACACAATAGCGTGGGAAGGGATGTGCTAGAGCAGAAGTGAGGCGCGCGAGTGGATTTGGGGGGGTGCCCTTCCCCCGTTGATCCATCCTGCCCAGTGCCCAGTTCATTGCTGCCCCCCCTCCAAGCCCTCCACTCCACTTGACTGTCTACCGCAGGTAACTGCTAACAGCGTCGTGCCTGCCTGACTGACACCCTGTTTGTCCAGCCTTCCTTCCATCCTGGTCGCTTCACTCGTGTTCATCCTCGATGGCTCCTCCCCTGGAATTCCTAGCTGTGGGGGGCCGAATGACGTACTGCGCTGAGGGGGATGCAGGGACTCGATTGGCCTGTGGGTATCGGGGTGGGGGCCATCCTCAGCCCCGCATCTTTGGAGTGTGTGACCTGTACGACGAGCTCTGTCGAGCATCATGCCGTTCGCAAAGAACAAAACATTTTATGAGAAATGTGTCTGCATCCAAGAGGTCTTCAATGGCATACTCAACGTACCGAAATCAAACATCGAGCTGGCCACCGAGCTGGCCACCGAGCTACCAACGGAATCCTTCGTTCACGGCCAAAGTACCATTCTGCCTCACCAGATCGCTAGCCGTTCACCATGGCCAACGTGCTCCAAGGGGCGCAGGCTACCCAAAGTCTCAATGACACTAGCCAGCGTCGGGAGTCGCCAGCGTGTATCCCATGAACCAAGAAAACAGTGCTGTTGGACATGATGTTCCGGAACGCTTGTAATACTGCCGTGTACGCAAATGGTGCTCATGGTGCTGCGTCCAGGTATGTCGACGTGAGATACTTGCGCGCTGGGTAGGCCAGAGCAGGGTCAATCTAAGCCCAGGCGAAGACGATGGCGTTCAATTGATAGAAAAGCTTAGCACATGTCGCATGACTCACCCAGCTTTACTACAGTTCGGTACGGGCAGGTATGCGTGCATCGCAGACTGCTATTGCTTGATCACCAGCCTCACCTGCTGAGACCAACCTTGAAGCAAAGCTCACAGCCGAATTGTCGCGGATCTAAACCCAATGTAAAGCCGAGAGATCACGAAACTCAATTATAATGCACGATGAAGAAGCAAGATGCAAACATATCACCAGAAGATATGTAGGAATTGAGCAGCACCACCAACACAACTATCAGCCCCTGGGACTCTGATGGGATCCCACCACTTCAGTGTCGTACTGTGTTACAGGCTCACCGTCGCATCGTTGGGACACGGCGGACCAGATCCCCGCAAACCCACAATCCCCAGACTGGGTCCCGCTCCTGGAACCTTTTGAGAACTCCAGATTCCACTACCATTCTTGCTCTGGTGTGGTCAACAGATCGTCAACAGCAAGTGAGAGATGCCTCGAATCCGAAAGTCATTCATCAGCGCAACAGCGGCTACTGCTCGTGCACGCCCCTCCATACTAACTATTGCCTGTCATATCACCAATCCTCCTGTTTCGGACCAAATCCTGTCGGGATACTTTTGAAAGACGCAGAACTCAGAAAACGCCAGGCGCAAAATCCACTATCGATATCTTGGCCGTCATATCCGACAGTTGTTCGCAAAACTTGCGATGCTGCTGGTCTTCATTGACGTATATTCTCCGATCATCTTCCGTCTCAAACTCAGTCACAAAAACGTGCGTCATGCCGCCCTGTCACTGTCGTCAATTATCCAAGGGACCCCCCGAGTCAGCGTCTGTACAGGATTCTTCTTACCTGACGACCCTCGGTGCTCTGGTCAATGCCTCCTGTGATCGACTTGATGAGAGGCTGTCCCGTAGTAGGGTGAAGACAGCTAGCCTTCAGCGCGAGAGCGCCGTCGCAGATCTGACATGTCAGTCTGTCGCTGGCGAAATCTGATGGTGATAAGCTAACTCACAGACTTGACCTCCTCGTCGACGACGAGCTCCTTGAATTGAATCTGGGTCACTTGGACGAAAGGCATTGTGATCTTCCTTGTTTTCGCCCGTTAAAATTGGGCAATGTTGGACTTTCAGTGTGTACTGTGAGTGTTAATCACCCGCGAGCTGAACTGGTCCCTCCTCTCATTAAGAGGTCGTGCCCGCCACTGACAGCCGCACAACGTCATGAGGGGTAACTACGAGCACGAGACAGGGCCGTGAGGGGAACAGATCATCACCAGTGCCGAGAACACCATGGCGAAACACGGCACTTTTTCGCATTTCACTTTTCCTGCAGTATTGACGGCAGGGAAACGATGATTTTTTTCGACAGCGAACAGAAACATCTCCATTATTAGATATTAAGTAAAGGTAGTTCAACATCTTTTCGAAACGAAAACATCCCCTTTTGCTCCGTTCGCACCGGACCCAGAAAAGGAGGGCTTCCATAGCCCACCCTCCCTTTGGGCATTGCAAGATCCGCCAACACAAGTCTTTTATCATGTCGTTTTCATCGTTTTGGTGTCCGTTCACGTGACAAGGAAGCTCCCGCAGCAGGAGAGCTTTACATGAGGAGGAGAGCTTTTAAAATGAGGCCGAGAGCGATGAGCAGGGGCAGGAAGCCGGCGTCGCGGAGCGAGGGCTGGCCGCTGACAATGACCTGCGAGGTCTCGGGGCTGGGGACGGGGACGGGGACAACGGTGACGGGGGGCTGGACGGGCTTGTTGGCGGTGACGGTGTGCTCGGGCTCGGGGTGGGGGATGACGGTGACGGGGGGGTTGACGGGCACGTCGCCGGTGACGGTCTTGCCGGGCTCGGGGTGGGGGATGACGGTGACGGGGGGGTTGACGGGGGGGTTGACGGGGACGGGCTCGGGCTTGACGGGGACGTCGGGGGTCGGGTAGATGGGCACGAGAGTCTGCGTCGGCACGGCCTTTAGTCAGGGTGACGGTGGCGGCGCCGTGCGTCTCGTAGTACGTCTGCTTGTGCTCGTACTGCTTGATCGTCGTCTTCTCCTGGTCGTACCAGCTCGTGCGCGTGTACGTGTCGGTGCAGGTCGTGGCGACGCCGTGCACGTAGCTGACGTAGGTCGTGCACTCCTCGTAGTACCAGGGCTTGGCCTCGTAGTGCTTGGTGTACACCTGGCCGGGGTAGCAGTCCTTGCCGTGGTACTTCTGACACTTGTCGATGGTGTAGTGATGGGTCAGGGTGGGCTTGGGGCCGGCTGCTTTCACGTTAAAATCACGCAATCTGGGCGGAACAGGGGCGGAGAGCTCCCAAAGGTGCACATACGGTGGTAGGTGGGCTCATCTGGTTCATGTTAGCACCGCGTTTCGGGTGACCGAAGAAGAATGGACGGCGACTTACAGTGGAAGCTGGTAGGCGTGGGGTAGACAGTGTCAGTGACGGTGTCAGTGACGGTGGCGGTGGCAGAAGCCGCGAGAGAGGACGAGGCGGGCTCCGAGGACGCGGGCTCCGACGAAGGAGCGGCGCTCGAGGGGGCGGCGCTCGAAGGCGCAGCACTCGAAGGCGCAACGCTCGAGGGCGCAACGCTCGAGGGCGCAACGCTCGAGGGCGCCACGCTCGAGGGGATGGGCAGCTCAGACGACTGCTGGGCCTGGACACCAACAATGAGGGCCGAGCTGCCGACGACGAGGCGGAGAAGAGCCGAAGAATGCATTGTAGCTGAGGTCTTGTGGAGGAACGAAAGTGGATATCTCGTAAGGCGAGAGAAGCGAGTGTCAGGGGGGGGGGGAAGGTAGACGCGGGACGAGCAGCGGATACAAGCGAGAGTGTGGAAGCTGATGTTGCGTTGGAATGCTGAGAGAAAGGAAGAAAGCCTCTGGATGCCGACGACGCTGGCCTTCTTTTGTACTCGAGGGACCGCGGTAGAGATCTTCATCCCAACGTAGGGAACCGCTGGTGATGGCTTACCGGCCGCTTTCGTTCACACACCATCCATGACTATGCGCTTGTTGGGCGGAGGGGCAAACAGACTGGTTGGCCTATGAAGGCAGCCCGGCGCCGAATGGGATCCTGATCGCAAGGCGAGATGCCGTCAGCGAAAAGGGTGGACCAAAAGATGAAAAGAAAGCCCGCATTCACAGCTCGCGCGACTCAGCCGCGCCGGGGAAAATACAACCTACGATCGGTTCAGGGCTGAATCGGCAGATCGACCCACGATGGCATCATGCAGGTTTGTTGATTTGCGGATGGCCGGGAACAGCAGCAGCAGCGGTAGTCGCTCCTGGCAAGGCGGGTGGGGGTGGGGGGGGCTTGTTCCTGAGACACCAGCATGCGAGTTGTGCCGGTTAGGTTTATTTCCCGTGTTCCCCCCATCCGATGGTCCGGACGGGGACAAGTCGTTTCGCCGGGAACGGTTGCGGGGCCAGCGGGACCTGCAGATTCGGCGTGGGGAGCGGAGCCGGGCGCCGGCTGCATTAGGACAAGCGGAAGACCATTTCACCGATTCGACAATCCACACGGCAGCAATACGAGACTTGGCGCCAGGCCGGCTGGCTTTTTAGAGTTTGTGCCGCCCATCCATCTTGTCGGAGGTGTTAGGCTTGAAGGCTGCTCGATGGAAACTGGCAGGGTTTTTCTCCACCACGACAGCTTGTCAAGGCGAGCTTGGGATGAACAAGGGGGGAGTGGAGAGCACGAAAGCTTCGAAATCCTGCCTCTAGCACTGGGTTTCTCGTCGTTTCGGGCAGGTGATCCGCAGAGCAAGACCTAGAACAGACCAATACCAGCAGCAAGCTTGTCATCCTGGACACGGCAGCAGTCATCCTTCCGTGGCAACGGTGAAGTAGATGCAGAAAATTTCGTCTCGTCTTCTTCATTTTCGAATCGAGAGGTATCAAGGGCAGCTTGATGCAACCGTGCCTAGCGCCGACCAAAAGAAAACAGGCTAAGTAAAAAAAAATGACAAAGACATGACATGCTGCTCATACACCACTTCTTCCCCTAGCTTGCAGCTTCACCTAGCCTGCAGCTTCACTCCCAATCTACAGCTTCATCCCCAACGCCTTGTTGACGCGCATGCTCTGCCTGATGCTCAGGTCGAGCATGATCTCCTCGCTACCGCCAGGGATGGCATAGGCACGCACATCCCTGTAGAGCCTCTCGACCTTGCCGCCCTGGCCGCCACGGGAGTAGCTGAGGCCGCCAAAGATCTGGCTCGCCTCACGGGCGCAGAACTCAAAGGTGACGGTGGACTGAGCCTTGAGGCCGGCAATGGCGCCACCGAGCTTGAGCATGGCCTCGGTCTCGCCCATCTTCTGGCACTGGAACATGAGGTTCTCGAGCCAGTTGTACGAGGCCTCAATCTGGCGCGCCATGTGGGCGAGCTTGAGGCGGATGACGGGGTGCTCGATGAGCTTCTTGCCAAAGGTGCGGCGCTTCGAGGCGTACGAGACCGACTCGGAGTAGCAGACGCGGGAGAAGCGCAGGCACTGGATGATGATGCCGATGCGCTCGTGGTTGAAGTTGGTCATGATGGCTGCGCCGTGTCAGGTCATCTCATCTATCTTGCGATCCAAGGGGGGCACACATACCTCGGAAGCCCCTGTCCTTCTTGCCCAGCAGGTTCTCGACCGGCACCTTGACGTCCTCGAACGTGATGTACGTCGTGCCGCTCGACCACACGCCCTGGCAGTCCATCTGACGCGTCGTGACGCCGGGGAAGTCACGCTCGATGAGCAGCAAGCTGACGCCGTTCATGCCGGGCTCGCCGGTACGTACCGCAGTGGTGAAATAGCGGGCCCACTTTCCGTTGGTGATCCACTTCTTCTCGCCGTTGACGATAAAGTGCTTGCCATCCTCCGTCAGCTTGGCCTCGCACGAGAGGTTGGCAACGTCCGAGCCGGCGTCGGGCTCCGTGATGGCCAGGCAGATGCGTTCGTCACCGGCGAGGATGCCGGGCAGGATGCGGTCCACGAGAGCCTTCTGTCCAAACTTGACCAGCGGCGGGCAGCCGATGCCGAAGCCGCCGATGATGTTCCAGACGAAACCACCAGAGCCGGGGCGCGACAGCTCGTCGGTCAGGATGAGCTCGTGGAAGAGATCCCACTTCTCGGGCGGCACGGCGTCGACCGTCTTGGGGCTGTACTGGGTCTGGTAGTGCATGCCGAGGAGGCCGGCGAGGTAGCCGCGCTGGCCCATGGCCTTGTAGATTTTGGGGTCGACAAGCTTGGCCTCGTCCCACTCGCTGACGTAGGGCTCAATCTCCTCGTCCACCCACTTGCGCACCTCGTTGCGCAGCGCGACGTGCGTCTCGTTGTAGTAGGGAGAGTGGAACTGCGACCGTTGTGTCAGCAAAGCATGAATCGTGACGAGCTAGGATCGATCGGGGAGCGAGGAACAGGAAGGGGAGAGGAGAGAGGAAAACATACAGACTGGTACCAACTGGGGTCGGCAAAGGGAATGAGGCTGCCATAGGGGTCGAAGGGCTCCGACTCATCGACCGGCGCAGCCTCCTGCGCGGCCTTCTTGACAACGGCCTTGGTGGGCTGGGGCGCGGCGGCGACGGGGGCCGGCTCGACGGGCTTGGGCTTGGAGTCGAGGGAGCCGACCTGCAGCTTGGCCTGGTACTTCTTCAGGATGCCCTCGTTGTGGTACTTCCAGAACTGCTTCGAGGCATCCTTGCCGGCGACGCGCTGGATGATCTTCTTGCCGCCGGGGTGGTCATCCTGGAACTTGGTCAGGTCGTAGACGTCGCCGTCGACAATGATGTAGAGGTCGTCAGGCTTGTTGTGCGACGCGACGTCGCTTGTGGAGAAGGTCTTGGACATGGCGACTGTGGTGAGATTTGGTCGTCTGAAGAGGAGGGCTAAGGAAGAGACCACTCGAAGGAAATGCGTGGACGGATGGAGGGAAGAGAAGTGCGTCCGGTTGCAAAAAAGAGAGAAAGAAGCTGCCAAACTTAAGGGAGGGCCGGAAACTGAGGGTCGGACGGTCAGAGAGTCAGACAATCACATGCCAGGCCTCTGGGCCATTGTGGAAAGGGCCTCTATTCACCCAGTTGAACCAATGCTTGCGGCTTCTCCTCCATGTCGCCCCATGTCAGGGCCCAATGCAGGCCCCATTGTGTAGCATTGTGTGGGGAAATTCCTCCTTCTGGGGCAATGTTCCGCGTGTCATGTGGTCGCAGAAAAGGTCCATCGACGAACGGCATGTGATTCCAGCTGGTTTGATGTCATTGACTTTTGGTGGGGGGCGATGGATGGATAGGCAGCAGCCAGATGATGGGAGACCTCGGCTGATGCATCTTGGGACAATCTGGGGGGGAATGATGATGTGGGGAGCGGAGAGAACAGCCCCTCTGCCAGGCCTGCCCCTTCACTAACCAATGGACTGGCCGACGTTCGTAAGAGCTCGACACCGCTGAACCGAACCGAGCCTCGTTCCTCTGTTCCTCTGTTCCTCCACTCCACGATACGCTGCGGCCATCTGCTTGGAGCTAGTGATTGATTGCCTAAAAGAGCCTAGACAAGTCTGGAGCTGTGTCGAGTTGCATCAAGGTGCACCACGGCAGATGCGTGAAAATGGGGGGTGTTGCAGCGAAAAAATGAAATCATGATTGCAAATACTACCAATTCGCGTCCACTTGTTCGACACCATGAAATGTGCGCATCCGACCTAACCGCAGCACCGTCCCTTCAGCATGTTCGTCGTACTTTCTTTCACCTGCCCCTTCCCAGATTGGGCAGACAGTGTCTACCCCAGAAACGCCGTACACCCTGACTACCGAAGCAAACCCCTTGCACCTTGATACATAGAATAAGAAAACTCCCCCACGTGCTGGTAGCTCCTCGTTGCCCCTAGGCGCCTCTCGGCTTGGCCTTGGCCTGTGCCTTTTCCTTCTTGTCCAGCTTGGCCTTTTTCTTCTTCTCTTCGTTCTTCTCGTCCAGCTTGCGTTTGTGCGCCTGCTTCTCCTCGTCCGTCTTGGGCATCATCTTGAAGAACCCATCAAGTCTGCTCTGTTGTGAACCCTTCATGTTCTTCTCCAGCCGCGCCCCTGCGCTGCGCACGCGGTCCTCCGAGAAACCCTTCTCCGTCACAAGGAACGTCACAAGGCCCTCAATGTCCGGCTTCTCCCACTTGAAGTCGCAGTCGGCGTGGTCTGCCGGCCGCACGTCTGGGTTGAGAAACAGCTCGCGCGCGTCTGCGAATGGCCAGTCCTCCGGCAGCGTGTACTTGCTCTTGGGATCGTTCTTGATGTAGTCCACCACCCCTTCGAGTGTCTTGTGCTCGCGGATCAGCTTGAGCGCCGTGCTGGGGCCGACTTTGGGCACCGGATCGAGGTAATCGCAGCCCAGAAGAATGCAGAGGTCAACAAACTATCCACACGTCAGCAGAGTACAAAACTTGGGCCATATCCCCGAGGAGAACAATGTACCTGGTTGCGCTCCATGCCGAGCCCTTCCATGACCTTGTCGAGATGGATCTCCTGAATCGGCTCCTTGCGCTGCTCGCTGTATGTCAGATGGCGCAGCAGGATGGGCGTCTCAAATGTCAGCGTGTCCATGTCCTCGCTCGCGGCAGCGTACACCTTGCCGCCCTTGGCCAGGACGGCGCATTGAGCCTCGGCCTCCGTGGGCGCAATGATGAACGGCACGCCCATCAGCTTCAGCAGTTTCTGGCATTCCGCGTTGTGCTCGCGTGTCACGCGCACCGTCCGTCGCGAAAACTTTTCAATGTCCTCTGCTGTGCCCGTCTCCTTGGCTTCCTCGAGCCCCTCCTTGGCTTCTTGTTTGCGCTGGAATCGCTTAGCGAGCTCACCCGACTTGAGTTTGGGTGGCGCGCCGTCGAAGACGTAGAGAGGCTTGATTCCATTGTCGACCATGCGCAGTGTGCGATAGAACATGCCCATGAGGTGCGAGGTCGTCTCGCCTGATTCGTTCATCAGTTGCTGGCCGTCCGACCGAACTGCGATGAGGAAGGAGTAGATCGACATGGACGCATCAATGGCCACCTTTCGTCCGAACTGGTTTTTGATCTCGCCCTCCTTGATCGCGTCGGGAGCCTCCTCCTTGAGGATTTGGAAAAGGTTCTTGATACCCATGGCGGCAGAGAGTGTCGGGGCTGGTTATCGAGTTTGGGTCGTCGTGAGAGCTGCTGTTTCGCTGTGCTGGGGCTGTCGAGTGTTGTTCCACAGTCATCTGTAGATTAAAGACCTGGGGGTGTAGTCGATAGAAGCCGAGTTTCTACAGCTCCGGGCAGCCGATGCAGTTTTGCGAGTGGTTGTGGAAAGAGGGTGGTAGGAAGGAGCCCGTCACGATCGATTTGGGGGAAGAGCTTGACGCGGTCCTTGACGCGGTGGCTGACACGAATCAGACGCGGCAACGAGAAAGCTCTTTAGCGGGCAGCAGCTGCTGGGTGCATCTCTACGCCTGGCGGCAGGTGTAGCCCTGGTCCCTACCCACTGTCGACCCTGGGAACCTCCATCAGTCAGGAACCCCCCAGCTACCTGCTACCGCAAACCTGGAGTTCAAGTACCGCAGCGCCTCCTGAAAACCTACTCACAATCTACCCGATGTTCTGTCTCGAGTTGGCTACACCATGTCTAGCAACACTCCCGGGTGTTGTGCCGCAGCTGTCAACCAACCTTCGGACAAGTATCCCCCCTCGATTAGCGGGTCGTCCGGACAATATATCTGAGGGCCGGTCAGCGGCCGGTCTCGGCCTCTGTTGGCGAATGCGCGTCGCCATACCGCGATACCTCACGACGACTGGGTCGTCACCTATGGGTCCTGCACCTCCAAACGCTCCCTGGCTGCAGGTCCCTGACACGTACTCACAACAGCCACCGAATCAGCACTACCAGCGTCATGCCGGAACAACGCTCGAACGAGTCGAAACATGGGCGGTAGTAGGCGCAGAACACCGGCATAAGAGGCTCCCTGACAATTTATCCGTCGGGTTTCCAATGTGCCCATCCACGCCTGTGCTGGCTCCATAGTTAGACGGCATTCGCAACTCCCCGCTCGCCATCACATCCTTTGACTCCCAGCATGCGTCCGTATTCTCCTTGACTGAATATTTTGGATTATCATACCATCATTGTGATACACCATGCCTTCTCAGCTTGAAGACCTTCGCAAGGCGAGCAAGATCAGCTGTGACACACTTGACGTCCAAGGTGAAATCCATACGTCCGCCAATGCCATGATGCACGAACTGACAAGTACGAAGTGGCCAAAGAGCTCGGTCCCTTCGTGGATGTCACTTCCAATCAGGTTAGACTCTCCAAACATCGAAACATGAAGATCTCTCATTGACAGACCTCAGGCTATCGCTGCAGGGGAGCTCGCTCGCACTGCGCCTGATGGTACCCTCATTCACGAACAGCTTATCCGGCAATCTGCTCGGGATGCTCTCGCATGGCTGCCCTCGGCTGTTCCTGGAGGCGACCCGGTGACATTCGCGGTCGAGATCATGGTATTTGAGTCTATCCATCTGTCGCTGTTGGTCCAGCGCCCAACTGCTCACGCCTACAGATGGTTCGGCTCTCCATTCAATTCGCACCCTATGTAACGGGGTTCCTACACATCCAAACGAACCCATATTGGGCGTACTCGACCAAGAAAACGTACAGAAACGCAAGACGTAAGCTATGGCGGCCGCCCCAAGAAACCGGTCAATTTGGGCTGACTTGATGTCGAGGCATTGTTGACATCTTTTCCCGGGTCGATCCGACGTTCGATACAAAGAGGGTTTGTGTCAAGATTCCTGGCACCTTCGAAGGTATTGGGGCCTGTCACATCCTTGAGAACGATGATATTCCAGCGAACCGTGTCGCAACCCTGGCCACCACCCTCTTCTGCATGGAACAGGCTGTTTTGGCCGCCAATGCGCGCTGCACCTACATTGCCCCCTACGTCAACGAACTCAAGGTCCATTTTGAGCCTGGGTAAGCAGTCTATTGAGTCAACCAACATCGCAATGGAGATTGACCATTTTTCACAGCTATGTTGATCAAAACAAGGCTTTCGATTTCACGCGCCAAGCACAGCATCACTATGCCGAAACCTCAGCGCGAACGCAGGTCCTTGCAGCTAGCTTGACGTCCACAGCGGAGGTCTTGCAGTTGGCCGGCATTCACCACATTACCGTGTCACCGCCCCTCCTCCGTGGACTTTCAGACAGCTCACTTCCAAGTGAGCATGGTAAGCTTGGTGCCTACTTTGCAGCTGAGCCGGAATCAAAGTTCGACAGGAAAGCATTCGACGCTACATATAGGGGAAGGGAAAGTGCATATCGTATTTTGTTCACCAGGAGTGGGCATGGATCGGCCGAAGTGAAGCTCAACCAAGCCATCAATATTTTTTGCGACAAGCAGGATGAACTCGAAGAGGTTGCTCGTCGGGCTCTAGAGGAAGCCATGGCGAAGTAGAAACAATGTTTTTGCGAGGGTCGATAATTCGATATCCAATCCGCGTTTGCTCAGCATTATGATTGTTCCGACGTGTGCCCCTCTCGTCACCTTCTGGATTCCATGAGCCTGAATAATCTTACGGAAGGCGAATTTGGATGCAGGCAGCTAAGGAGGACGCCAATTGGCTCTAGCTGCGCCAGATTGCACACTCGACAATTGCTACCCCTGCTCGCGGGCCTTCGGTCACTCAAATTGGACCATGCCTCATCTGCAGCATTTCAACCCCAGCAGCATGTTCGTCGCACAAAGCCGACGCAGCCTAAGATCGCCTACCCAATAGCGGCCAACAAAAGGCAATGCAACATGTCGTGGCCAACATACTTGCTTGACAGGGCTGTTGCCCAGGGCTGGCCGCCTGCTTTTGAGAGTTTGAGGGGTGTCTGACTTGCTCACGGTTTCCCTCTTACATTCTCACTCAACCTAGGTACCTAAGCAGAGGTGCTCTGGCATCGACGCTCCAACAACATGCCTTCGCTGGGTCTCGAGACTGTTTACCCAGCGCCTGGGAGCACACCGAGCCCACGTTGGCGCCGCACCGTTGAGTGAGTTTTAAACGCCTTCCACTAATCACCGAGCTAATACCCTCAGCATCGTCTGTGTTCACGGATTCGGCCGCAACCCGCTGCAGACATGGTATCACGATGTCGCAGGCAAGACATGGGTCGCTGAGACGGACTTCCTGGGCTCGCTTGCCGACAATGCTCGTGTCATGCTCTACACCTACAACGCTGATCTGGCCGCCAACATGAACGCAGCCAGCATCGCCATGCATGCCACCGAACTCATAGGCCTCATCAACAGCTGCTGCAGCGACACCGGAGGAGGCCCGTTCATATTCGTAGCCCATGGCTTTGGTGGGCTCATCATCAAAAAGGTGGTCTGGATGTGCATTCCCATGTCATTCGCGGTTACTGACAAGCCCCCAGGCTCTTGCGCTATGTCTTCTGAACCCAAGCTTTCCAAATCATAAGTCGATTAGGGCCACTGCAGCCGGAATCATTTTCTTGGGGACGCCACACATCATAGACTCTGAACCTCTGTTGAGCTGCGTCAAAACCACTGTTCTCCTGCATGCCCGGCAGTCATCCCGTATCACGACCAACGAAATCAAGGAGTATGTTGAGTCGGCGAAAGCGGTCAACCTTAGTTTCACTGCTGGCCTGACCAGAGAACTTGAGATCGTCAACTTTACTGAAGGTATTACGACCAACATCGCCCCCGATGACGAGCCCGCCTACATGACAAATGTCATCCCAAAAGCCAGTTCTGCCCTGGGAATGGGCCAAGGTATCACCGAAATCATGGAGTGCACCCATGAACAAATGACGAGTTTTGCATCACCGGTAGACGACTGCTTTCGCCGACTTCAAGAGCGACTTGTAGACATGCACGCTGCCATTACACAGGGCACTGCGTTCAGACCAGCCACGTTGCCATTACTACCGACGCCCAAATTACCCCGCCCAAAGTCGCCGGCGTCGACACGGCCTGGATCGAGGCCGACAAGCCCTGGTGAGTCAGGTTGACTTTGCATATGAGAACATCTGTCTGACGCCCTTAAACTTAGCGCGCGCAAGTGATTCTTCAAGTAGCAGTCAGGAATCCTTGACCCGGTCCCAGAGAAGGCTTGTCAACGAGCAACGCCTCACATTCATGACCTGGCTGAAAGGCTGGACAGAGGACAATCTTGGCAATCATATTGCCCCAGCGCTGCGAACCAGGCACTGGTTCTTGTTCAACATTGCGTTCAAGAACTGGATGAGTTCTCCCTCTTCCAGTGCCTTGTTCATCACAGGGGAGACTGGCACAGGCAAAACGTATGTCGCGAAGACCATTGTCAACCACCTGATTACTGCTCAACCTCCAGAAAATCCGACGATGGCCTTTTTTTGCAGCACCCATACGAGCCATGCAACACAACCCGCCATTCTGGATTACTTCATCTACGACCTTTTGTGCCGTAAACCGGAATGGTTCGATGGCGTACCTCCCAGGTACGGAAATCGCCAACCCCCAGGTTCTCGATTTTCTCACGATACCCTGTTTGATATTCTGCGTGGTATCAAGAGCACAAAGCTTTCGATGAACACCGTTTACTTCATCGTTGATGGCCTCGACCTATGCGAGCCGTCTTTCGTGGAACAATTCGTACAGCAAATTAGCAGTCTCATCGGAAAACTTATCATTGAAGGAATCGACCAGACACCACTTCCAGGTCAAGTCGAACCGCCTAGGCCACGTTTCAAGTTTCTGCTTACCATGAATCCCAATCGTGTACCTCGCCAGACATCAGGATTTCGACATGTCCAACTCGCGCCAGCTGTCGTTAAGGCAAACATAGCAGAATACGTTGATGAGTTTTTTGAGCGCTTCACTGGCATCATCCCATCACAAATAATCCGCAAAAAAAGAAATTGGGTCAAAGATGAGTCGGATAACTTCTTCGTCGCCGCAGCTAGTCATTGTGCAGAACTTGAACGGGCAGAAGACTGCAGGCGCGGGGGTTTCGAATCATACGACGACATCTGTCCTCCGCCAATCTCTCAATACTATGATCACGAGCTTTTCCCAATTCTACAGGACACAAGCAGCAATAACTACGCTCTGCTTCTACTGATGCTCCATATTAGCGCTCTCGGCCCGCTCAATATGACAGAGATGCTAGATGCGATATCGTGTCTCTATGATGACTCGGATGTCAAGGACATGACTCCATGGTCGTTGCTTGGAGGCTGGATCTCTCGAATCGTGCCCTGTCATGGCCTCGGGTTCAGACCTATTCACAGAAGCTTGATTACTTACATTGAAAGATTTGTTACTCGACAAGAACAACACGCAAATATGGCCGCCATCTGTCTAAGATATCTATCGCGCCCAGAGTTCAATTCGCCATTCTCTATCTATGATAGACCACGACCAGAAGCACAAGCCTTCCTCAACACCAAGTACCCATTTTACTCCTACGCCGCGACACGGTGGGCGCGGCACATTGCACGATCCGAGACAAAGGGCCTCAAACTGTTATCGAAGCTTCAAGACTTCGTATCTGACCGATCTCAAACCTTCCAGACCTGGTGCCACTATAAAGCATGGTCAGAAAATGAGAGCGAATCATGCGCCGGCCATCGTGTGCCGCCTTGCATTGAGATGGCAAAAGAAGACGCGCGAATCATGGTCCGGCATTTTCTGTCATCAGTACAGACACAAACCGTTCTTGATAAGATAATGGACCGCATGCTACTCTTCGGCATGATAGGCCTGCCAAAGAACATTTTGGAGTTTGCCATCCCAACATCTAAGAAGAGGTTCTCGACGACGGATGACCTTCAAGACTACCACGGTCTCAACATGTTGCACCATGCCTGCCGCGAGGGGCACATCCAAATGGTAGAGCTAGTCCTCGAGTGTACCCAAGACATCAACAGACGAGCCAGGGGTACTGGAGAAACAGCGCTACTTATTGCTTGTCAGGGCAGTCACAGAACCCTGGCAGCGGACAACGATAGTCGCTCCCTCGAAATAGCCGACATACTCCTACAGGCTGGTGCTAATCCGAACATTCCATCATACACAGGAAATACCTGCCTGCACAATGCAGGAAGATCGAATCATCCGCGCTTGGTTCAAAAGCTGTTGCAGTATGGCGCGTTACCAAACGTTTCAGATGTCGAAGGAATCACTGTCCTCGAATCTGCAGCTGTCTTAGGTGCGGATCTGAAAGCAGTCGAGTTGCTCATTGATGCAGGGGCCGATACCAGCGTGTGGTGTCAAGACAAGCGGAGCCCGATATCAAATGCGATCGTCAGGAAAGATTTTGACATGTTCAAAATTCTTCTTCGTGGTATAAGCGACATTAATATGATCGACGGTAACGGCGTTGGCATTTTGCACCATCAGCTGATATTGGAGCGCCCTGAGTGGCTGGCTTGTCTCCTCGAGAGACCTGGTGTCAACCTCGACCTGATGCCGCTGAAGGATGGCGAATTGGGTATACCCCCTCTAGCGTTCGCGGCCGGACATGGTTACTCTACTTCTGCTGAGATGTTGCTTGCTGCCGGCGCGACACCAGGATATGTCCCTGGCCAGGCGGAACTCCTCCCGCTTCATTACGCTATTCAGGCTGAGGGCGCGGGAGACGCACGCATGACGCGACTTCTTCTTGAGTACGGCGCCCCGTTGAACACGCTTGAGATACATGCGGGTTGGGGTAGAAGGTCCGCTCTGTCGAGAGCTGTCTCAACTAAAAGTGAGAGCATTGTGCGGATGCTTCTTGACTATGGCGCAGACCCAACAATGGAAGAGGGTTGTGGCGACCGAGGACCACTCCATCTCGCTGTCAAGAGGAATTGCCCCGCCATCGTCCGCATGCTCATGGAGCATCCGCTACCGCCGGACCCCAACTATGTTCCCGAAAACGGTGTCCATGTGCTCATTCAGGCAGTTCAACCCGGAAATGGTGCTGAAATGACGAAACTCCTATTAGAATATGGCGCAGATACCCAAATTTTCCATCGTCCGGCTCAGGCGGAGAGCCCACTACATTATGCTGCTGGTGACGGTATGGCTGATGTCTGTCAGGCGTTGTTAGACCACGACCCGGCAATGATCAACCTACAGGATGACGGCAGTCTTTTAATCGACACACCACTACACCGGGCTGCGAGGGCTGCGAAGCCGCAGGAAACTATTGCTTGTCTCTTGGCAGCTGGAGCTCGACCTGAGGCACAAGCGTACTTGTTCATGGATATTCCACTCCACCAAGCCTGCCAAAAGGCCAATCTGGAGGCGGTCAAAGTCCTGCACGCTGCGGCACCAGAGCTGATCAATAGCCAAGACTTCGTCGGCCATACGCCACTTATCGACGCCTGTCGTGAGGGTGCAGTGGCGGTTGTAGAGTTTCTGCTACACAACGGCGCTGATATTGGCCAGCGAGACCATCTGGGCCACTCATGCATTTCACGGGTTGTCGACCAAGAACCAGGGATTGCGCTCCGGCTAATCCGCTTGCTGCTCAATCACGGGCTTGGTATCAACGATGTTGTGGCCTGTGATGGTTTCACGGTTCTTGCCGAGGCGTGTGTCGTTCAGAATATGCCTCTCGTGGAGTATCTCCTTGAAAAGGGGGCAGATCCCATACGCTGCCAGCGTGGACCTGACGGCACCTCTTGGAGGACAGCAGTGCATCTTGTCATGCAGAGACGTAAGCCGAAAGCTTTAGATGTTCTGCTCGAGCGGCAAGACGTCCGGGACCACATGAAAGCACTTGATTGGGCGGGGAGGACTGTCCTTCATTGCAGTTTACGGCATCCCACCACGCAGTCAATGGTCAGCAAGCTTTACTGGGCCTCTGGTGCAGTGGAAGCCAGTGACTTCTTCACGGACCTTATAAACGTGAGAGACCGGTTTGGACTGAAACCATTCGACTACACACACCCTTGTGTACGCAAGAACCCAGCTCCAGGCACAATACGTTGGCTTGATCGCACAATTCATGCGTCCATCTTAAAGGTGGTTTACACACACAGGACTCTGCGAGACCACCAGGCTGCGATGCTCGATATGATCGACCTGCTGTTATTTCGTGGAGGTTACGACAAGCATACCATCACTCTGTTCCATCGACTGGCCTTACGAGTTGATATTGTGGAGAAAGACGACAAGTACGAGAAAAACACATACTATGGTTGGACTTGTGACTGCTGCGATAAGGTTATGAGTGTCGCAGCGAAACATTGCATGAAGGTTTGTCGCGTTTGCCAGGTCAGCTTGTGCGACGACCCTGAATGCTGGGATGTGTGGGAGCCACAGGTTCATGCATGGATCACGGTTCCTTTCATTCAAGATACGGACCTAAATTCAAGAGAGATGCAACAGACGCTCGAGGATCTTCTCTATGCCTTTGACCCCGCACAAGATGAAAAGAGGTCTGAGGCACGCGTCACGACCGAGGTTGGGCTGCCCAGTGACCCGGAGTCCGACACTACAACTCTCTCACTTGCGGTCCTCCACGCTTTCGGACTTCTCGAAATCCCACGCAAAGCTTGGAGTCCATTCTTGCCAATACCGCCACGGCTATTCGCCCGTCTGGCAAGCTGGGACTGGATGCTTTTGCCAACAAGAAAACGTTTCGAACAGGGTGTTTGGGCAGCTGAGCTTAAGCCTCACAGACTGAAGCTGGAACTGGATTATTTCTTGACATCAGGCCGGAGAATTTCCTTGCCCAACGAGAAGCTTACACTCTCGCAAGCAGTTTTGGAAAGTCTTGCGACATTATTTGAAGCACAGGGCATGCCTGAAAGAGCCCGCCAGCGTCCACGCAAACGCTACACGCCGAGGCATCAGCTATCACCAGACATGGGCCCGCCTCCACCTCCACTGATACACCCGCGCCTACAAACTCATGAACCAATCTCACGATGGGCTTCGCCGTTGCCGGTGACCCTGACGCCGACATCACCCCGTTCAGTGCGCTCATTCTCATCGGTGTCGTCCTTCGCAAGGGACTAGATAATAAGGAGCATATCAAGTTATCATTACATTGAGTCACATACGTCGCTTGCATTGCAGCTATCTGGAAGGCAGTACGCATTCCTTTCATTTTTATTTATCTGTGGCTATCTCTGAGACACTCCTATTGCTGAAGGCTTTTGACTCGATGCGCTATGACTTTGACACCAGCCTTCGCTTCAGTTCGGATACTCATCAGAGCAGCCAGAGTTTTTTTCTTCTTTTTTCTCTTTCTTTTTTTCCTTTTTTTCCTTTTTTTCTCTTTTTTTCTCTTTTTTTTCTCCATTTTTTCTCTTTTTTTCCTCTTTTTTCTCTTTTCCTCTTTTTTCCCTCTTTCCCCCCCCTTTTTTTCAATAGCTTGCACTAACACTTGAAAGGATGGCAAGTGTTGCTACGTCAAGGTCCTGGACGTTGACAGTCAGTGGCTGTGGACAATGGCCGCCAAGATTTTTGAGAGACATGTTTCGCATACGTGCCACTCCTTGGTAGGAATTGCAATGTGAGTCGAGTTCAGAGGCCCGGCACATTCAATGTTGCGATCATCGGCTTTTTTGCAGCGAAGCACATTTGCTGGCATGTTGCCTGGTGTATGGCAGAGGCTGCAATTGCCAGTGTTGGCGGATAGATGGCACATGGTGGTGATTTGAAAGGTTGGGTTCTTTGATATATGCTGGAGGATTTGGTGGAAGACGTAAGCGCGAATGGCGGCTAACTGTCTTCTGAGCTTGTTCTGTTGCGTTGGTGATGGCAAATTGACGGTAATGAGAAGCACGAGGGATTGGTTTATATATCTGGTGATGTAGTGGGCAAAGTCGATGTTCAAATTGACTGTTCGTTGATCAACATGGAAAGCATATATACAGAAGTAGGTAGTGTTGATCGTTTCTGAGTGTTCGTGACCCTACTGAAAGGAACCACTCTCGGGAAACAGGTACATTGTCGCGGAGAGCTGTTGATACAGGCGCTGATAATGGCTGACTGTTTTGAGTCAATAGGTGAAATTGTTCATGTGTTCGTTTCGGAATCCGGGCGTGTCAGAGTTCCTGGTTGTGAATGTTGAAAAGTGAGCGTTTCGGGGACTTGGAAATTGAGACATGAGGTTGCGCAGTTGACCTTTGCAGGCATTTCGGTAAAAGTCTACATGGCTGGGAAAACCTCAATTTCACACTGTTATCGGTCAGCTTTGCCCGCTGTAAATGAAAATGATATAAATCTCTTTGAATTGGGAATGAGCGTGTCCGAACCCCTGGATTCAAGAGGGCCATCAAGTCTTCGCTCACGACGGAACAGCTTGCTCTTGCCACGTTTCTCCCTAGGTGCCTTGGATGAATGATGGTCGTTAGACTCTTGAATCAATTGCCTTGACACCGAATCGGGACCTGATTCAGTCTCACGGTGCTGCTTTATGAACAGCGTCGATATTTCAGTGCAAGATGACTAAGCTCTCGTTTTCCATGACATTGAATGAGGATCAATCGAATCCCGACACAAAAAGAGTCTTCGGGCAGCAGAGAAACGAGCTGACGTCCGACTCCCCGGGACACCTTTCAGGCTTTCACGGAAAGAAAGAAACGTTCCGCTTCCAGCACCACTCCTTGACGCAACTGACCTACAACGTCGATGCTTGACGAGCCGATGCCTGAACCAAACTTAGCGGGCGCCTCCGCCGCGGAGTCCACGCCGGAGGAAAGATTCGAGGCGAACAAGATGGTCCTACGCGACATCATCGAAGTGGACCATTTCAGCAACACGGTGCCCGAAAGCATCGTCAGTCTCTGGCTCAATGCGCTTGATCCGACGAATAAGACCCTTCTGCCACGCGACGTGAAGGGCTTCTATGGCGGCGATCTACGCGCATCGATCTCCATCGAATTGGCCCACGACTGCTACAAATACGTCATGCACGAAACCGACAAGACCAAGGTTGACAAGTACGCCAACAGAATGCTGATTGCGCTCTCCCTGCTGGACATGGACGAGCTGTCAAAGAAGGACGCAAACCTTGCGGGGCTCGCGCTCTGGCACACGGCTCTGGCACAGGCGCGGCTCCCAGGGAGCCTGGTTGATCTTTCTGATACGCTGAAGCGGTACGAGGCCATTCGACCGCGCGCCTCCTTGAGCGATTCCAAGCTGCCACAGCCTCTTCGCCTGGTGGCACGGTTACTCACAGCAGCCGAGCAACTCGGAAATGATGAAGCGGTAGTGCTGTTGCAGGATTGGAAATCAGAAACCAGTAGATCGTCCTCGCCTCCCCTCTAGAATACACAATCATCTTCAAGAATACGACCGAGCCACAGAAGCTTACAAGGTCCCGTTCAGATATCTCAGATATATTGTACATGAACACCAAACGTCATGCGATTACACTTTTGCTGCAACAAGGCTCATGTAGATGCCCCAAATCAAGCCAACAAAGCTCAGGAACACAATGCGTCTGTGAACAGGCACAAAACTGAAGCTGATGATAGACGCCAGAGGCCAAATCTTGTAGCCCGCGACAATAATCGGGACCGTTTGCTATCGCCCGTCAGCAAAAGCACGTGACTTTGACGGGCATGGAGCTTAGGTGGAAAAGCAAAAAAGCATAAGTGAAGCACCTACCGTCTTGACGTTGTACCAGATGGGACCCAACCCCTGGCCCTTCAGCGCGCCCATGATGACGAGAAAGGCGACCGTGTTCATAATGGCGCCCATGGTGATGCAGTCGACGAACCACTTGGTCAGCGTGTTGCGCAAGCTAAACTGGGGCTCCGGCGCGACGATGGTGCCATCCTCGAGCCGCGAGGGTTCGCTGTCGAGGCGCTTCAGCTCGATCTCGGCGGAACGGTCCGTCGGCGCATGTGCGGGCAACGGGTAGGCTGGGAAACTCCGCTCGAGGAATTGCTGCCAGTGAAAGTTGGGCGGACATGTGACGGCCGAGAGGATAATGAAGCGCAACAGCTGCATCAGATCCAGGCGGAATGGTCGCTGGTTCTTTTGTCAGAAAGGGGAGGGCGACATGTCTGAGGGTTGGCAGATGAGCGCACCTGTTCCTGGTACGCCTGGATGAACTGGGCGCAAATGTTTGACACGGTTGATAGCGTGGACGCCTGAAGCGTGGCCGTTACAATCGGGGAAGGCATTGTGACGTTAATGAGAGACGAGAAAGGCAGCAAAAAAACAACAGTAATGCACAGGGAGGATGTAGTGAGACGTGAATCCAGGGAGGCTGATGAACGATGCCAGATTGCGACTTTGCATGCTGAACATCCTGGGGTCTCATGCAGGTCACGTGTTGCTGCGTGATGGTGGGGTCGGTTCAGGTGTTCAAGGTCGTCTGATCAGTGGAAGCAGCCTATAAATTGCCGAGAGCACAGCGGAAAGCCAGCTGGAGTCCCCCGAAATACAGCGCGCTCTCTGTTGCGCCAAATCCGCCTAGATGTCATGTAACAGGGTTCTGCTCGATGCTCTGGATTACGATTCTATGTCCATGAAACGTTTTTACATAGTCCGAACTTCGATACCTGAATCTTTTACCATTGTTCATGACACAAGGCTGGCTTTTCATTCCTTCATTTGGGCCACACAATCACAGACATTCTCTTCCCATACGTCTCCGTCTTCTGCTTTTCATTAAGCTTGCCCAATGCCAAAACATCTTTTCCAGGATCGGCGCGGAACAGGCGCCTTTCGTATCACGCAAGAAGACACAGGGTACATCTTGAAATTTGGATCTGTGCTGCATGAATCTCATTGTCCATTCCGTATGCCTCGCAACTCCACGCATATATCGAGGGACACGATTTTTTGACAGCGACGTATTTATTAGCACGTGCTGTATCTCCAAGTTCACGATGTTGTCTTCCTTTTCGACTATCTTTATCTGCGACTTGATACTATCAAGTTGTTAGTCAAGGTCGGACTAGACAATGCAGCTACTTTAGCCACAGCAACGAATTGAGGTACTCGTGTTATAACAGACTTTCAACTCAAGTCCAATCTCTAAGATAGGATCTCGTGTCGTTGTATTACGAGATGTCATGGATCAATGGGGGGAGACTGCAAGTGGCAGCTACACTGTCGGCGGCCGAGACGTTAACTTACAATTTAGTCTCTGAAATAGGAAAGCTAACCATTCCCCTCCGCGGACGATTCTGGAAATCAAATTTTGGAGATCAAATAAATTTACCAGTACCCCTTGATTCGTTACGCCGACAGGTATTCAAGTATGAGATGTCTCATGAGGATTAATTCTTAGGATTGCCGCAAGTAGCAAGACAGCTTGCATTACTAGCCGAGTTGTCATTCAATTGAAAAGTGACCGAATAAGATGCAAACTTGGATACAGCAAGAAAGACGAACAACCACTTTACACACGTCATCCTCAACTCCAAACCTCCAAGTCCAGCTCGTCTTCCGTGGCGGACTCGACTTCCTGGCCCTCCGCATGGACTATAATCTCGATGGTTACAGGGAGTAATGCGGTCTCTTCGGTTTGTTTTCGTCTCTTGACCGCTCTGGTCGTGAGAGCCGTTCCCGTCCTTTTCCAACTATCGAACAGATCTTCACGCCCTAGGGGGACCTCGCTCTCGTGACGTTTCCGTTCCGCGTCGAGAATTCTCAGCGTGAGCTTGAAGCCCTTGATCGTGAACCCACCTTCTTTGAGGTCCAGCAGCTTGGTGATTTCGTCCACAAACTGCGTCAGGTTCATCCGAGCAACAATAGACTCTGACTGCCAGGGTACCTCCCGTGTAAGTCGTCCCGCGGAGAGAATCACTTTGGTCGTGATATCCACGACTTTCGCGGCTTTAGGTGGATTCTTCGGGATGCTCTGTTGCGCCGGTTCTGTATGCTCAGATGACGAATGCATTGGCGCCTCCGGCGCATTCTGGCCAGAGGCAGAGGGCCCTTCGATGGTGGGAACAACCGTGTGTTTGTTTGCAGCGTGCTGCTCAGATTGTTGAGCATTCCGTGCCTCATGTTCCTCTTGATCCCGCCGCATGGCAGCAGTGACTTCCGCGTCTACATCAGAGCCGTAAATGAAACCCTCCTTGACCCTTTTCGTTCGATTTCGCGAAGACCATCGCGTGCCTTCGGGTGAGGTATGGGACCCTGTACCTGCTTTGCCTACTGGTGTCTTCTTCTTGTTCGGAGTCAAAGACTCTGTCCCTCTGGTGCGTTTTCCAGGTTGTCTCTCAGTGCCGCCATTCCCGGGTCCGGTGCTACTGGATGCGGGAGGGGTGTTGATCAGGTCAATGATCGAAGGCGGATCCACGTGCTCACCCCGAAAGTCTGTAGTATTCCCTGAGCGAAGCGATGCGGTTGTTGTGTTTCCAGCGTCGGCGGCGTTGAGTGGGGTGGTAGTGCCCTGTTCCGGCTCGTCCAGGTGCGAATGGAAGGGTCGTGATTCAGAGGTTTCAAACCGCGCCGCACTGCAAAGTCAGCAAGTCTATAAGCACAGGGTATCTGGGTATCAAAAGGTACCTGTCAGGTGGCAAGCTGGTGTCCATATTTTGGAGACCATCAAGCTGAAACACGGATGCAGAGAAACCAGGGCTTGGTTCGTCTTCGTCAAGACTGTCGGGACTTTCAGTCCTCTTCTTGCTCTTTGTGCTATCGTATTCACGTAAGTGCCGGGATCTGCGGTAGAAGAGCTGGCCCAAGTAGCTCAAGATCCTGTTGCACAAAGTTTGAGCTCATGAAGTGATGCGGCCCGTTCTGGTTTTCATACCTAGAGCTGTCTAATGGTATGCTGAAGTCAAGACCGTTGCGATAAGGCGAACTAGAATCACTTGGCCAAAAGTGATTGCCTCTGTTCTCAGTATTGCTGAAGATTTCGGCCATCCTTGAAAAGGCCTCCTTGGTAGCTGCTCTTTCGTATTTTGTCATCGACGTGAACTCCCGTGCATGCTTGCCGTTTTGATCTTGATAGGTTTCGAAGAAAAGAAGTAATTGCTTTTTCAGCTCTGGATAGAAACGACTCTCCTTCGGGTAATTGAGTTCTGCATAGAGCTTGGTGACTCTCTGTATCTGGGCCTGTTTCTTGGGAAACGACATTTTAGACTGTTGGAAGAGATATAACTTGAAAAGGGATGAATTCAGAGAAAAATTGCAAGCATGATGGCAAGGCCAGCGGATCTTATACTCGTGAAGAGGAGACACGCAAAAGGGGTTTTACTTCTTTACCTGAGTGGACAGAAAAATTGGAAGGCTTAGAGCCTGTAATTTGGGGCAACTCAGTCAGCGCAGCACACAATGTGTCCGTTGGTAAGGTGCCTTGGTTGACATGGCACATGAGGATTACAGGGTCAAGGATGCTCCGGTCAAGACCCTGCTGCTTCTGCTTCGTCCTAATCGTCTATTCTCACTTTCGACTAATGCAGCACACAAACAGGAATTGCTCGAGTCAGTTACAGAGACAGCGACCACCCTCTTTGACCCTACCCCTGGCCTACCAGTCCTTGGAACCGAGCAACAGCGCGCACCGAACGCCATGTTGAAGCTCAATATTGATACCCTGCCCTCCATTAAAGCAGGACTTGTCTCGACACTCACATGGTGGGGCCGGCGAGTCCTTCAGATGCCAGGTCAGCACAGACAGGCGCCACCTGCTCCTCGCCATGGGCCGCGCTTATGCGACCTGATCATACGCCCAACCGTCCGAAGATGCCATTTCCTTTTTCTCTTTTCCTTCTTGCAGATATCGGCTGACCTCGTTTTCACACCAAGTACTTTCTCGCACTCACCCCCCTTTTCACTCTTTTCTGGGCACCGTATCCAATGCAGGGGAGCCCTGCACCTCTGCAGAATATTCTTTCATCTAATCATACTGCCAACTAGGTACCGTTGGTGGAATTCCTACGAACACGGGTACACAGATAGAAATGCATCAGAGTGGTGTCGAGGGAGTGGCTGGCGCTGATCCTCTCACGTATGGATGAAAGCTTTGGTGCGAGCCATGTCCGTCTGGAAACCTTCAACGTGAGTGTTGCATGATCATGAAGCCAAGTCTACTTGTCTTCATTCCTACATGCTTGTACGAGCCCATACCGGACGAGCAGAGACGAACAAGAGTGAGCCAAGGAAGGGTCTCAGACCATCATATCCCTTCGACAGATGCAGTCCATTGTGCTGGCTTGCATGCCACTTACTTCCGGCTCCGCCGCCCTCGCGCGCTGGAATTAGTAGTGAACAAGCCACTTCCAACTTGATTACAGCGCAGTCGATAACACACATTGATTCACACACAGAACACCTACAGTGCTGTTGCACCCAACGGACTCGACACTGCCCCACACATTCGCTTTGAGCGAGAGTTACCAGTTATTGGGAAGTCTGAACATCCCGCGGTGCAGCAGATGCAGGGACAATTGTCGACAAAGTACCGGCCTTATCCTTGCCGGTCTGTCACAGCTCATCTTCTTGGCCAAGTGGTTCGATCGGTTGGTCTGCTTCTTCAGCTTGCCGCCGCCACCCCTGTACCTGCAGCACCAACGGCCACACCATCTTTTGTCTGGCTTTAGCAGCTAGCAGAGGGTCTATCAGGCCTTGACCTGTCTTGCCTGTATGGTAAACACCTCAACGCGCGACCGGACCTGCTCCAGTGAAGAAAGGAACTGCCCATCCTTTATTTTTGTGGCTGCGCCCCCCTGGTCGTACTCTTCGTGGTTTGAAGTTATGGCCATGAGGGCGTATTTCTGCAGAAGGACAGGTTAGAAGCAGGCGCAAAGTTGGAGTGTGGCCGTTTTTGTTGAAACTTTCGCTCATGCACAACACCACTAGTGCTGGTTTGGTCGGCCAGTCTGTCCAGAAATATATTCTCCTAACGATCTCGTTGCTTCGAGTCATCGACTTGCGGATCTGTTAAAGTTGAGACTCGTCACCCACGTGGTCCGTTGGATTTGTTTCCACAGAGCGCGAAAGAGTGAGGCACGTCAATACTACTACTAGGCTTGTGTGGCTCCAGAATAAGTGTCAAGGATCCGGGTCGGCTACGGCCGTTGTGGGGAACGTCCGGGTCTCCCACTTCACGAAGCATTTTGTCCACTGCCGTTAACGATCATGCCGCCTGTCTCTGAGGGTGTGTCGTTGGTTCCAGGGCTTGTTCGCGTAACCGGGGTAGCACACCCGCGGCAGGCTCTAAAGAACGATTGGCTGCATGGTAATAGAAGGCCGACCATCCGCACAGAATGACTGGCTTGTCGTTTGTGATGGACGGGAGTGACGAACTGTTACACAGCGTTGGCAGCAAGTGGAGTCGACGTCGTGATTCAGGGTGACCTGGGCAGACTGCACAGAACACTGGGAGAAGTAGGGGAATTGACGTGAATGGCGTGCCCCCTGCTAGTCCGCCTCGAGATTTTTTGAATTAGCTCGGTGATCGACTTTTTCTACTTTAAAAAGACCTACCTGATCCGTCATGCCCTGTGAAGTCGGCCTGTTGCATCAATCTTTCTCCCAAAGAAGAGAGCTGGAAGGGGCATGGGAAGGCCAGATGCGGCCTAACATGTACTGCGCCCACTGGCCGTTGGCTCGCTCACACCGAGCCTAGAAATCAGACCAGGGTTGTGTCAGAAGCTGAAGTCATGACGAATGGGAAGGAGTGTGGTTCAGACGATTCTGTTATCCAAAGTTGTCCGGCTGACTTGTAGCAGAGAGTGACCCATGACCGGGATTCTCGAGCCTGGTCAGGTAAGCGCTGGAAAGAAAGCCAGCGAATGTCCGTCTTGACCACCAAAGGCCCGAACAGCATGTCCAAACCAGCGATGATTTTCACGTTCATGTAAAAGTCTTTCCAATGCCTACTCAAAAAGAGGCGATGAGGAAGCGGCCGAAATGCCGTGCAGTGATGATACTTGCCACCTACTGTGAGTGAGAAGATGGCGAGCCTTCAAGAGACAATGGAGCTTCCCCGGCCTGGACCCATGCTGCCACACAATTTTGACCTCCCTACAACAGGCCGCTGCAGCCTGTTCGGCTGGCGAGGGACGATGTCGTCAGGGCGGCAAACGAAACAAGATGGGAAGGTGGCTCGTGGGTCTGCCTGGTTGCTTTATGAACGCAGCCTTCATGGTGTCTTTCAAGGCCTACGAGAAGGAATTCAGATGATCATGTCAGAGTCGAACGAAGGAAATCAAAATAAGACTTTAAACAAGCACCGGTTGGCTATCCCTACTTCTGGCACTTGTCCTGGTCCTCGGGAAACTCGCTAATGTCGACGACGCTGACCCAGATATTCTCCTTGTTCTCGCTATACGACACAATCAACCGGTCGCCAATCTGGATCGCCGTCGGATAGCTGTACCCGTGAGCGCGGTCCTTGATCCCACCCCGCGTGTCCGGAATCCAATTATCCGGCGCGTTCGTCCGAAGCACACCCACGGCCCGGAACGAAGGGTCGTCTCCACGCGAGATGGCCAGCGTCAGAGGTTGCCTCTCCGGCTTGTCGGGGTTCCACCGCGGGTTCGAGAGCAGATAACGGTCGCCCGACCCGTCGAGCTTGCCGTGCCACTGCTTCGTCTTGCCGTCGGGGATGTTGGTCTGGAAGATACGGTTGCCCTGCTCCTGCTTGCGACGCGGGTACCAGTCGCGGCCTTGGGGGTCCTCGTTGTACTCGATCCAGACGTTGTGCGTGTTGAGTGGTTCCGAGGATATGTCGCGCCAGAACCGCTGCCAGTAGCCGCCCGTCGGCGAGTCTGTGTCGTTGAACCATACCGCGTGCGTGTTCTCCTCCATGCGGTGGGCGCCGTCGCCAGCGATGAAGCGCGAGTTGTACAGCCAGGGCGACCACGCCGGGGCGTCTGCTGGCTGCACGAGGTGTTTGTTGATCTCGCAGGCTCGCTTGCAGAACTTCATGCCAAACTCGGTGCCGTATATGGTTTCGGGGTACAGCTGCTCCTCGGTCCACTCGTTTGTCTCGATCCAGCACGGGTCGGCTGTCGCCTCGCCGTCGAGACTGATGGGCACGGCAATACGGCCAGCAGACCGGAAGCCACCACCCTTGCCGTCGCCGGGGCACCATCGGCTGCCGGACTGGCCGATGGCGAAAAGCTCGCCGTCGTCGAGGCGCACGAAGGCGAGACCCTGCCACACCCGTTGCGTGATGCCACGATCACACCACCACTTGAAGTTGTGGAGCTCCGTCTGGTTCGGTAGCAAGGCGGCCGGCATAATGGAGGTGCCAGGGGTCCAAGTAAGTCCGGCGTCGTCGGAGGTTGACAGCCAGACATCCTGACCCATGCTATCCTCGTCAACAGGTGCCGACGAGTAGATGAGGAACACCTTGTCGCCGATGGCGTAGAGCTCAGGGTGGTGGGCGTAGGTGCGATTCTCGGCCTGGCCGTTGTAGACTTCTACCTCCTTGACGACCTTGATCTGGTCCCAGCCGGCATACAGCTGGTCATCGTAGTCGAGGTAGGGTTTGACCTGCCACAGGGACATGGGCGGTGGCGGATCAGCGCGAGCCAGGCCGGCCAGGCCAAGTATGAAACCGAGGAGGAGGGCCATGATGCTCAGGACAGACTGACTTGATAGTGCGTCGAAATTCCTTCCGAAGTTCTGTTGCTGGGTCCATGGATCCGGACGGTTTTGTAGTCGACCGACCCTGCCACGCCGCCGCTTCTCTTCATCCTCCCCGCTCCAGAGAGCATTTCCACGCCGTCGACTCGTTTGTCCGCTCGGCTATGTCTGGCTCTTTGTGTTCCCGACGTTAGCAATGGCGATCTTGGGCGGCTGGCGGGAGACACCAAGCATTGCCATGCACGAAATGCGGGGGAGTCGCGGCGTGATTGATGGAATCTGGGGGAGATGCCGACGAGCATGGGGAAACAAGGTTCCCGGCGCCTGGGGTCGGACTCGGGCAGGGATGTGGATGCGATGTAGTTGGAACTGCAGTGCTGCTCAGCCCACGGGTGGCCCTTCGGTGTATCTTCCCGCGGATGAATAGCATTGGAGTCTGAAGGATCGGCCATGCGTCTGCTTCTCTCGATCATCCGATCGGGTCGCCTGGCGTCGCGTCGGCTGGGGGCGCATGGTTAAACAGGAAGCAGCAGCTCGGGTCCCTGGCAGACGATGTTGACGATATTAAAAGGAAGTCAAAAGGAAGTGGAAATGGAAATAGAAAGAAAAAGGCTCGTCGATGAAGGTTGGCAGTCACCACCTGCTGATCACTAAAGCTGGCACCTCACACAGGCACTGTGGGACCACACAGGCGTCGTGCAGCTCGCACCTTCAGGCACTCTCCCCGCTATCGAGCCCTGTAATCCAGGGTTCTCCGCACTGTCGTCCATTGTGATACAGAGGATAATCCAGAAGGCGGCTCGCTTGAATGAAGTCTGTCATGGACTACCTTCTTCCTTTTAAAGCAGTCTTCTCCATTGTTAGGTATATCACAACTGCCAAATAATAACCCGGTGCCCGGCATGCGACAGTCTGGGTTTCGCAGAGTAATGAATCCATTTTCATTATTCGTCCGCCGCACTTGTGACATTCAGCAGTGGTGGGCACATTTAGTTCTCAACTTTCACCCAAACCCAACTTGTTTATCATATAATCCAGTCATCGAGACGTATTCTCTGCTAGGATCACAGTCAGATGTCCTCTCGAATGCAGACCTTCGAGACATTCAGAGAGGGCACCACATATAGACAGGCGCAATGACAGAGAACATGTTTAGCCTTGGAGATCTGGTGTTCCGTTTTGCAGCCGTTTGCAAAGGTAGCAGCAGCGTCGATTCCGTTCGGCCATGGCGTAGTTTGGTCAGGAAATGCATTTCGAGAGCCGAGAGAGCGCAGATATATCTACAGCTGAAAAGCTGGGTGGATAACTTTCATCAGTCTTACAACTTGCAGCATGGCAAGTGAATCGATGTGATTTCTTAGAATCACTGGCTAGATCTGCCTTGGTGTTGCTTGCAACCTCAATTTTTGAATCTAGTTGGAGACTGATTTCCAGAGTGTAATCTAGATCCGACAAAAGTATGACAAGGCAGAAACAGCTCTTTGTACTGCTTTCTGGCTCACTTGAACGAGTCAAACCGCCGTTTGGACTCTTCGGAAGTAAATTTGCAGCTGAATCGCGCTCTGGGGCGGGCAAATCGCGTACAAGTCGTAACACGACGTATTCGTACAGACACGACGTCTTCGCTTTCCGGATCGCACCCCGATCTGCGCAACCCGATCTTCGGTGCCGTTGATGCCAAACAAACATGATGTATTTGTATTTACATAGCAGAATGAACGCGGGTTCAGTAAAATCAGTCCGGTATGCTCTCCTCGTTCTGCGGCCAATACTACAAACCGCCATTTGAGTTCATCTTCATCGCTTCTGAAAACCCCATACATCTCTACGAAATCATGGCCAAACTTGAACCGTTTCGCGGCGACTACTTTCTCTGGAAGTATCTCCCTCCCGTCCCTCTCGCCGCCACCTTTGCAATTCTCTTCTCGATTGCAACCTCGGCCGTTGGCTGGCGTCTCTGGCGGATGCGCAGCTGGTTCTGCCTTGCATTCGCCTGCGGCGGTCTCTGTAAGCAAGGTCCCCTCAATCTGCTCATCAAGCACATCTCGCGGTCCCTAACATATGCCTGGCAGTCCGGGTTATCGGCTACGGAGTCCGCAACAAGGCACACCACAACACGGCCAAGCTCATGCCCTACGCAATCCAAAACGGCTTGATCCTGCTCGCGCCCGTGCTCTATGCGGCCTCCATCTACATGACCCTCGGCCGCGTCATCCGCAGCGTGCACGGCGAGGCGTCCTCGGTCTTCAAGCCCCGAAACCTGAAGCGCATCTTCGTCACGGGCGACGTCCTGGCCCTCGCGAGCCAGAGCGGCGCCGCGGGGCTCATGGTCATGGACGACCTGGCGCGCATTGGCGAGATGGTCATCGTCGGCGGCCTCGCCTTTCATCTCTGCGTCTTTGGCCTCTTCGTGTCGACGACGGCCGTCTTTCACCGGAGGATGCTGCGTCGCGGGAGCGCCGTTGCGCGGGGCGTGCCCTGGCGGCAGAGGCTCTGGATGCTGTACGGCGCCAGCGGGCTCATCATGGCACGCTCGGCGTTCCGGCTCGTCGAGTTCGTCATGGGCCGGGACGGCTATCACTTGACCCACGAGTGGTCCCTCTATGTGTTTGACAGCGTGCCGATGCTGGCTGTCAGGTCATCTTCTGGGCGTGGTTCACGTCGATGACGGTGGATGCGGCATCGAGGGTTTGGAGTGGGGAGTCGCTCGTCGTGTTGCCTCCGCGGGGGGATGTTATGGCATCTGCCGAGGAGGGTTGGAACCCGAAGCATGGATATTGATGATCTCTGAGACTGCATTGCATGGGCGTTGCTAGACTACATGGCTGATTGGGGTGATTTCGGGTTTGTTCGAGTCAATGCGCATCATGTGTAAAGTAGCCTGATCACCGTTCTTTCTCTGACATTTCAATTGGGCCATTAATTAGAGGGCGATTGATGCATAAAAATCATCAAGCGTTAGTAGAGACACTATGGTGTTGTCGTTGAAGTTCCTGTCCCAGGTGCACCATTCTAGTCGCCGACTTGGTAGTCCATTCGGCTATATGGATGAGGCAGTCACTGATCCTCCATCACCACAACCACAACCTTTCTCTTCCCTCTACGAAACCAGGCAATCCATTGAACTCGCCGATCATGGCCTCACATCTACGCGTGAACACCAGGCTCTCACGGGCAGCACGACACCTGCAGACTCTCCCGCCCTCGCGCCATCATTCGACCCCCGCCCCCGACCTCCCCTTGACCGGCATCACAGTCGTGAGCCTCGAACAGGCCCTCGCAGCCCCCCTGTGCACCCGCCACCTCGCCGACCAAGGCGCGCGCGTCATCAAAGTCGAGCGTCCCGGCGTCGGCGACTTTGCCCGCGCCTACGACACGCGCGTCAGGGGCCAGTCGTCGCACTTTATCTGGGCGAACCGCGGCAAGGAGAGCCTCGCCCTGGACCTCAAGGCCGCCAAGGACCTAGATGTGCTCAGGACGCTCGTCCGCTGCGCCGACGTCCTCGTCCAGAACCTGGCCCCCGGCGCCAGCGCCCGGCTCGGGCTGAGCTTCGACGCGCTGCGCGGCGAGAACCCGCGGCTCATCGTGTGCGACATTTCGGGGTATGGCGCCGACGGGCCCTATCGCGGCAGGAAGGCGTACGACCTGCTGGTGCAGAGCGAGGCTGGCGTGCTGTCTGTCACGGGCACCAAGGACGAGCGTGTCAAGGTCGGCATCTCGCTCGCCGACATAGCGGCGGGGATGTATGCGCACGCCAACATTCTGACGGCCCTCATCAGGCGCGGAAAGACTGGCCTGGGTTCGCGGATCGATATCTCCATGCTTGAGTGCATGGTCGAGTGGATGGGCTTTCCGATGTACTACACATATGACGGCGCCCCTCCGCCGCTACGCGCCGGCGCCGCCCACGCAAGCATCTATCCGTACGGACCGTTCGACACGGGCAACGGCGGGTCTGTCATGCTGGGGCTCCAGAACGAGAGAGAGTGGGCAAATCTATGTCACAAAGTCTTGGGAGAGAGCGCTCTGGCCGAAGATGCAAGGTTCGCGACGAATAGCTTGCGCGTAGCCAACCGTGAGGAGCTGAGGGACATTATATGCCGAGCGTTTGCGCAGCTGACCACGGAGGAAGTGCTCGCAAAGCTGGATGAGGCGGCCATTGCCAACGCCAAGATTAATGAGCTCCACGACGTATGGGAGCACCCACAGTTGAAGGCACGCAAACGGTGGACGGAGATCGACACGGATGCCGGACGGGTGCCGGCGCTCATCCCACCCGGCTGTGGACCGGAGAGAGCGTCTTTCGGTAAGGTGCCAGGGCTGGGAGAGCACAATAGCAAGATATTCGCCGAGCTAGGCATATAGAGACATCCTACTACTTGGCAAAGGGATGCCCCATGCTCCGGAGCGTCGCCCCTGTTCGAATCCTGTTCGGTAGCAGAGAACGGCAGACCGGGCCGATGACTCACGCCGGTTCTCGGCCCCGCTCGATCTCCGACCATCGGTTAGGGTCGGACTTTTCCTCCGCGGTCGCCTCTGTTCAGCGGTGACACGTCAGTGTGCCATGGGGGTCAAGTAGTTGGAAATCGTTTGAGGCTGGGCATCAGATTACCAAGCGACAAGGTCACCTTCAGACCCCTGAATCGTCAAGCGGCGAACCGAGCAAGTTCTCCCGTATGCCACTCAAGTTGTAGTCTGATCACCAGCTCCGCCCACAGGACAATAAAGCCTCGGTCCCGACACCTCTTCGCGTTCGCAGCTGTACCTCGTCTCGCCATCCATCGACAGACCCCGGCACGAGGCCACCCACCCCCCTCCAAACAAGCCACGACCATGTCGCCGCCGATCGCAGGCTCCCGCACGCCCCAGTACACGCCAGCCCAGCTGGACGCCTACTTTGCGCGCATCAAGTTCCCCAGGGCCGAGCACCCGACGGACCGGCTCGCGCTGCTCACAGCCCTGCAGCGCCACCAGGTGACGACGGTGCCGTTCGAGTCGCTCTCGCTGCACTACTCGAAGCACCGGCGCCTGTCGCTGGACCCGGCCGACCTGTTCGCCAAGATTGTCACGCGCGGCCACGGCGGCTACTGCATGGAGGTCAACACGTTTTTCGCCTGCGTGCTGCGCGCCCTCGGCTTCACCCTCATGCACGCCGGCGCGCGCGTGCGCGACGGCGCCTGGCTCGGGCTCTCGCACATGGTCAACATTGTCACCATTGGCGACACGGACGGCAAGGACACCGCCGCCCGCTACCTCGTCGACGTCGGCTTCGGCTCCAACGGCGCCTGCCAGCCCATCCCGCTGAGCGAGGACCCGGCCGTCGCGCGCTTCGAGAGGCGCCACCTGCGCGGCCGCGTCACGCGCCGCGCCATCGACATCCACACGGACCCGGGCCAGCGCGTCTGGGTCTACGAGACGGCGCTGCCGGGGCCGGCGGCCGAGTTTGAGGCCCAGTACAGCGTCGTCGATGCCGAGTTCTTCCCGGAGGACTTTGAGATTATGAACCTCGCCACGTCGACGCTGCCGACGGGGCTTTTCGTCAAGACGGTGCTGGCGACGCTGCAGGTGGCCGGCGGCGACGGCGAGGTCGAGGGCGTCGTCATCCTGCTCAAGGACACCATCAAGCGGCGCATCGGCGACGCCAAGACGGAGGTGCTCGAGACGCTCAAGAGCGAGGACGACCGGGTCAAGGCACTGGAGAAGTATTACGGCGTCGTGTTGACCGACGAGGAGAGGAGGGGCATCAGGGGCTTGGCGTCCGAGATAACGGATGCTCCGTACTGATGCAATGTCGTGATACGGTAATCAAGTGTAACCACATGTCTTCGCCGAGGCGGCAAAACAGAAGAGGAAAATAAAATGATGACTTAATCTACCATGCCAACCCCGCGTAGAAAACATGTACGATGAACGATTTGGGCCCTCATCACATCATACGGTAGCCCGCTCAACAACCTGCCACTGTCGTCCGCCGTGCTCAAACTTGTTCCCCGTTCTCAAGCTTGACATCCCTCTCTAAGGAGCGCCACGCACGGCATGCCGGCGCCGTCGCCGACGCGCTTCGTCCTCCGCCACCCCGGCCCGGCTCGCCACTCTCAACGCTCGGCCTTTGACCTCGTCACCCGTTCCCGCAGAATGCCCTGGCACCACGTCCCGAGCCGGATGACCATGCCCGCGCCGCGGGGCCTTTCGTCCCACACGAGCACGTAGCACTTGGCGCGCCGGCCATCGACGCCCTGGATGGTCGGGTCCCGCCACACCTCCTCGTAGGGCGTCTCGACGCCCGTCTCTGGGTTCACCATCTGGCCAGTCTCAAGCGTCCTCTCCTCGTCCATGGGCGCCATGTCACCCTCGTCGGCGAGCCCCTCGGTGGCCACCGTGCGCGAATCGAGCCAGTGCCGCCACACGCCGTGCGTCTCGCCCGGCCCGCCGCGTGGCGTCGACGACGACGTGCCTGCGATGGCCCAGTCGAGCCGCTCCAGCGGCGCAACGTCTGTCGGGAAGGGAAAGGGGGGGTCAGCCAGGTCAGCATGAGAGTATGAGGAGGAGTGAGCGTGTGAGAGATGAGGGTCCCTCATCATAAGAAGAGCGCCATCGTCGGCACCGAAAATGGAGCAGCTTTACCTTCAGCGGGCGTCGCGCCCTCGGGGTAAAGCACCCGAATGTCGACAAACCGTCTCTCCGGCGATGTCAGGACCACGCTCGACGTCGGCTCGCTCATGGCGGCTGGCAGCCAGCGGATGCCCTCGCGGATGGATATGCCGGCCATGGTCGTTCTCGTGAGTAATTCCCTCGGTTGGCTGGATGCGATTCGCAGACTGTACGAGGCGATTCGCAGACTGTACCTATCTGGCCCCGACCCCTCTTATACGATGCAGTGGCGAATGTCGAGACGGACACATCCCAACGAGGAAAAAGAGTCATGTCATGTGTAACACCTTTTTAGATCTCCCCGGGTGGAGCCGATAAAGCCGACGTGGCCGTCGAATCAAGGAGGCTTCTTGACCCAGGTCGCACGACGAGAGCGGGCAGCATCCATCTCCGCTAAACCAAAAAAGATGGACCGGTTCCCAATGTGTCCTAATCGATCTGGCGGCATTCGCCTTCGGACAACCAGCAATCTGACCACCCAATGGCCGTCGCCCGACGTTGTAACGAGGGGGAACGCTCCTTGCGATCCTCTTCATCGGAACCTTGCGCTCAACTTTATTCGAACAATGATGGGGGGCAAAAGGTTAACTTATAAGAGGTATGCGCATTAGCCAAGCGTCCCGTCTTCTATGGCGATGTTCACAGAACGATCCCACCATATCCATTCGCCTGCCCACCGTATGCTTCGGTCAACTCTATCATGCTCCGTCTCTTTTCAGTTGTCATTTCTTTGGGAGTTCTGGACTCTGCTTCCTGAGCGGCCATGCGCTCAATCTCCCCGATACTGGCCCCTCAGTGCATCTACTTCTCTCTGCAGGGCGTCCAGGTCCGCGAGGATGTTCTGACCCTCCCTGAGGCCTTCCTGCCCCGCATCTTCCGCTACATGGTTATGAGCTGGCGGCGTGAAAACCCGCGTGCTGTCAAGGCTCGTCCGCTGCGATGCTCCCGGCGCATCGACACTGCCCTTGCTGCTGCCTCTCTGTCGGGGCGGCGGCGGTGGAGGCGCAATGGTGTTCTCCTTTTCTCCGCTCACGACTCGTCTGCTAGTTGTTTCGGCGTTCCGCGGCTGCGGCCTCCGTGTAGACGCCTTCCGCGCCGGAGGAGGCGGCGGCGGGGATGATTTGGGGGTTTGCTCGTGCGCCCCGACGTGTAGGGACACAGGTGTCCCAGACGACGTGGGCTCCGCGTCGGTGAATGGGCTTGCCGATGTGGCAAGGGAAGTAGATGAGGCGGATGTCCGCGACACGGTCACGGGTCGCCTTGATGGCGGCGGTGCGGGCACATCTTTGTTTCTCGTGCTCTCCGATCGCGACCGCTGCGAATCGACTGACGATCGCGGTTGCGGCTCGTCGTCATGTGCTAGCACAGCATTCGACGCAGACAGTTGCTTGCTCTCTGCCCGAGCATGGCCTCGTCTGGGCGGCGGTGCAGGGGTGGGCTTCTTTCCAGATGCTGGGATTGGCTCTGGGCTGTGCAGTGGCTCTTCGTGCTCGGGCAACCTTGCTGCCGCCTCCCGAGCGATCGTGTCTTCTGTGTCATCGGCCACGCGGTGTCGCGGTGCCGGGGGAACCGGCCTTTCAACATCAGACGGAGACCTCGGCTTGGGCGAGGCGAGGGACGATGTCGAGGACGATGGTTGTGCTCCCGAGACTTCCTCTATATGTTGCGGCTTGATCGACTTGCCGTGCCGAGAGCTCGGTGGAGGTGGGGGTCGGCGAGGTCCCGGCGGCACGGGCGTGCCTCGTTGCGATGTTGGTGTTGTAGACCGGACGTCCTCGTGCCCCGCCTCATTTAATCTTTCAACTGAGATCGCGGCTGGCGCATTGTCGTTTTGCAACGGCGCTGTGGGGGGCACGGTAGCTTCTGATCCCGACTGCCCTGTCAGCAGCAGTCTCTGAAAGGCGCTGACATCGAGGCCGCCCTTGCCAGGTGCCGATGCCGTTGTGACGGCTTCGAGATCGTGGGCAACATCGTGATCGGTCTTGTCTTCAAACGTCGTCTCAGCGCTGCGGTTGGCGGCGACGAGCGGCGCCGCCTCGGGTAGAGCGCCCATGTTGTCGGGGTTGGCGGGAAAGCGACTCTCAAAAGGGTCCGGGTCGTCATAGTCATCGTTGCTGTAGCCAGGGATCACAGGAGGACTGGGCACGGCGCCAGGGGACGGGGGCGGCGACTGCACGCGGACTCTCTTGACGACCTTTTGCTTGAGGGGCGGCGTCGCAGTGCCATCGCTGTCGGTGGAGGTGGTGATGGACTGCAGAAAGGCGGCAGAGGATGTGGCCTTGGGGATGGAGGGGCGGTCGGAGGTGGCGGCAGCTGCGCTCTTCCTGCGGAACGGGTTGGTCGAAATGTCGGCCATTGCGTGCATGCGGTTGTCTCGTCTCTCTCTCTCTCTCTGGGCTGCGAGTTGGAGAGATTGGGTTTCTGATGTGCCTGTGGGAGGAGCTCAAAGTGCCTCTGCCATTGTCCGGTCTATCCGGGGGCGGGGTGTCTGTTTGGTGGTCCTGCTGGAGCGCCGGTCGGTGAGATGGGAGCGAACAATCAGGGGGGCCGACTAGAGTCGAGTAATTCGAATCCAATGAACTCAGGTGGCACGGCGTATCTTTCAGCGGCAGCTATTCTTGTTGTTCCTGAAGCAATGGGATGCGAGGCTCAAGGGGTTGTGAAGTCGAGAGCAAGTCGCACCTCTGCCTGACGCCCCTAGGCAAAGGGCAACGCACAACAGCGGCAGGCAGGTGCATTCGAGGATGACGAAGTGTGCGGGTACTGACAGCTGATTGCGTCGCTGTGTTGGCGCAGGTAGCAGCCAGGAGAAGGCACCAGGCGCCAGGAGCCAGGAGCCAGGAGCCAGGGGGGCAGAAGTGGGGTTTCCTGGTGCTGCCTGCCTGAGGTACGGCAGCAGCTGGCGCGGCACCATCGCAGCTACCCTAGCAAGCCTAGCTCTGCACCTTGGATGGTGACAGCGGAAGGCACAGCTGACAGTCCACCCACAGAGAGAGAGACGCTGGAGCCCAGCCGCCAGACACCTGGAAGGAACAGACACAGACGAAGGCAAGGGGCTTGCGGCGCCGCTGCCTTATCGGACTCGGGGTCAAAAGCGGGTCCATCGGGCCATCCTCAGCATCCACCCTTCACCTCCAGGCTCCACCTCCACCCTCCACCGCGACGCGCTATCCAGTCCAAGCCACACAACTCGCACCTCGACCGCCCCCCCCCCCCCCCCCTCCCCTCGCCTCGTCATCCGCAAGCCTTTGACGTGCGGGGGATTTGCTCCGGGGCATTGATGCGCCATCAAACCTGAGAAGGGGACGGCCAAGCTGTCGAAATCTTCCCGCTTCATATCCGCTTCCTCCCAGGCTGCACCCGAGGATGAATGCCGTCCGTTGCCCGCCCAAGTGCGATTGAGTCCTTGCTCCCCGCTCCTCCCGCGACAATAGGCAGCATTCTACACCCAAGGCATTGGCGCGCCACGCCCAGGCTTGTCCCCATGCTCGAGGCCGCAATGCCAGAAATTGATGTAACAAACCCAAAAGACTTGAAAAAGCCCCCAAAACAAAGTTGACATGGGGATTTATCGCGGGCGAGAGTGTAAAGGGGTGAGGCGGCTTTCCCTTCGGCCGGACCTTGTCACAGTCTTCAGCACCGTTTCAGCATGTGGGCTCGCATTGATCCGCGAACATGGCAAACACCAAGCGCGACGCAAGCTTGGGCCTCACCGACGTTCGACTCGACATGCACGTGGTCCTCAACAGGAACGCGAGCCCTGGTACACCCGGGTAGGTAAACAAATGTTCCACCCCATGACCGCGTCGACTCCACATGCGCGCACCACAGCCTCGGGGAGACAGAGGGTGTCGTGAACATAACACACAACACACACACGACGGGTCAAGTTGAAGATATATATCATTCCCAGAATCATCATGGTATAATTACAGTCATCCCAAGCCTACCGCGGCTGCGTATGAGCGCCGCAGTAATGCTCGCGCCAACAGCCCGTGGCATCAGGCCAAGACACCCGCGCTTCCTGTAACCAGCCCTAGCCCTGCCTGCCTTCCCAATTGCAACCGGAACGCCCGCAAAGTCAACCAACGCATACCGTCATGATCAGCCGTGCTGTCCTCGGCCCTCGGAAGCGTCTCGGACATGCACCAATGGCGTTCCGTCTATGCGGAAGCAGCAGCAGCCTTCTTCGGCGCGGCGGCCTTCTTCGGCGCCGCCTTCTTCGTGGCAGCAGCCTTGGGAGCCGCCTTGGCGACACGGCCAGTCTTGGTCTTGCTCAGGGCAGCGGACTTGTCGGCGGCAGCGGGCTTGTCGGCGGCAGCAGGGGCCTGAGATGTGTCAGTAAAGAGTGAATGGGACATGTCCGGTGGCGCGTCACATACAGCCTTCTTGGTGGTCGCAGCCTTCTTGGCGGGGGCAGCAGCCTTCTTCGCCGGCGCAGCCTTCTTCGCGGCGGTCTTCTTCTCAGCGGGAGCGGCCTTCTTGGTCGTGGCAGCCTTCTTGGCGGGGGCCTTCTTCTCCGTTGTCTTCTTCTCAGCGGCGGCCTTCTTCTCAGTAGGCTCCTTCTTCTCGGCGGCCTTCTTGGGGGCGGCAGCCTTGGGGGTCTTCTTGGCGAGCTTGGTGCCACCGGAGGGGCCTGTGTCTGTTAGGAAGACGTACACATGCGCGAATGGAGGCATGGCAACATACCCTTGGGCTGCTCGAAGACGCCCTTAGCAACACCAGCCTTCAGGGCCTTGTTGAAGCAAGAGTCGAACATGGCATCGCCGACCTTGATGTCGTTCTGGGCACGGACATACTTCTTGAGCGACTGACGCGACGAGCCATTACGGTCCTTGAGCTAAGGGGATGTGTCAGTGGCTTGAGTTTGAAGACGCGTGACGAATGAGCTGGGTGGTGGACGGGGTGGGGTCGTGCCCAACACGAAGGATACACATGACCCCTCACGCCCAAACCACAAGCGTCTTGCGCCGGAAGACTTGGAAAGACGAAAACATACGTTGACGATAGCGTCGTGAATCATGTCCTGCAAATAATCAGCGGCGATTTACATGAGCACGCGCCGAGAGGCAACCAACCTGGTAGGTGTGCGACTTCTTCTCGGCGGGAGCGCCAGACTCGGTCTTCTTGGGGGCCATGTCGTTGGTTGTTGTGGGTTGAGAGTCGAGACGCGTCGGCTGATGTGTGGAGCTCGAAAGACTCTTAAAGGATGGGCGAATGAAGGATGGGTGTAGTGAACCGTGAAGATTTCTCTGGAATATTTGCTAGTTATACCGTGTAGAAGCAAGAGACGACAGGAACGAGAGGTGTGGGAGGAGTGCGCGTGGAGTGGACGGGGGGGGGACGGTTTATACATGAGCGGGGGCACTTGCCGCAGATGCGCAATCAGTAAACTCGCCATGTCTGGTGCGGCGGCAGGTCGAGGTGTGTCCCGGAAGACAATCAATCCGCTAGGCTGCTTTGGGGCTGGAGCTTGAGCTTCGGCGAGCGTGACGGGGGGTCCTTCCACCATCCAGGGACTGCTGATCGGTCCTGCCAGTGCTGAGATGTGCCCCCGCCGCACAGGGCACAGCACGCTGCCGCCCGTTTGTTAGGGCCAGACGCGATCTGGGTGGGTGGATGTAATGGGGCTGCCGGGGGGTGGGTACCTTGCTGACCTTACTGTACCGACCTGGCACCTTGTCTCTCTCCTACTCTCCTACCTTACTTACATGGCGCTTTACTACGGTACTCCTTCCTCAACCCGCCCACGCGAACTGGCCCTGGCTGCATGAGAAGCTTCCGAAGCTTCGTACCTGGGGTCCTCGTGAGGGAAGGAGCTCCCAGACACACACGCCCCCCCCCCTCTCGCTGTCTCTACCTGCTCGTCGAAAAAAGGTACTTGCAGAGGTACCTCGAAAATAGGTCCCTCGTCCCAGAAAAATACGTCACGCGGCACCATTTTTCTGATTGGCCAGCTGCCCACCACCCAACGTCTGGGCCCCTTCTGCGTTGTCTGATCTCGTCCTCGCCCAACGCCCACCTCATCGCCCACCTCGACGTCTTCGTCCCCGTTCCCGTCTTCTTCCTCTTTTTCCTTCTCGCTCGCCCTCTTCTTTCCATCTGCCCACCCTCCATCATGATGTCCTGTGTCTCCCGTCCTTGAACGTGTTTTCTGGTCATTTTTTCGTGCGCCGATTGTACTCCCAAGCGCCCTCCAACTTGACCCGTGTCGAGGGTGTTTTTGGGTGTCGAGATGGTCTGTTTTGCATCGTCGTCGCAACGCGACCGCCATGTCCATGTTTGCATTCGCTCTCCCCCTTTGTCTCGAGCAAAGACTATCGTGTGTTTAATGCATGCAGATGTCCCTGGCTCATGATTTTTCTTTCTCTCATTTTGCATTTCAAAGATATATGGTGGTTTTGCAAGGCTTTTGCAACGCGACCGTGTTTTGCTGGAGCTCGTCTTTCCCAGCTGAAGCCATCCGCACGTTCACGACGGCGCCACATCCGCCCTCCCTGCAACCGCGTCACCGTGTTCTTGGTTACTCGACAGCCATCAAATCGAATGATGGCTTTCTCACTTGTTTCCTCATGCTATTATTTCCGTGTTCTTGGCTCGATGGGCCTGCGAAATCCCCCGATAGAGAGGCCGTGATGAATCACGCTGGTCGAGTATCTCGCGTTCTGCAGAATGGCGAGTTGCCCACCACCCATCCAGAAGATAAACCAGGACCACCTCACCACATCTTTCTCTCATTCATCGTTCAGATATCCCTCTCGTCGAAATGACCATGACTCCAAGTGAACATGAGACGCAGGTCACCAACACATCCACAACAGTTCCCTGACGCCATGCCTTGCTATTGGCATCACTCTTGCCTGCGTGTTAGTCATCGAAGCGAACGCATCTCATATGCGGCCCCAAACCCAGACGACCTTTTCTGTCATGTCCTTGTCTCCCATGAGATAAATAAGACTTGATCTCCAACGAGAGATCGACCCCGAGCATCGACCATCGGCCAGTGAACACTGTCGCAGCCACGGCCAACATTGCTGTCGGCATCCGCATTGCTGCTGTGGCTCGCAATTTCGCTCCCACGTGGCCGTCACCACGGCCAGGAATCCTCCTTGAGAATGTGAACAGCGGAGTCGAAATGGTGACGAAACCATGGAAAGCCCCTCTCAGCAGGCTAATGTACATGTTCTGGGCAGTTTGGCGGTCCGGAGGTCTGGAGGTCTGGAGGCGATAAGTTCTCCTCCAAGGCTCCGGCATGTGCCTTCTCGACTTTGACTTCGGCGCAGTTCAATTTCCGTGTTAGTCAGTGCTTCGCGAGGCTCCATCGATCCCCTCAGAACCACGCAAGGTCTGGATCTG